GGGAGCTATTCGGGTTCGGAGATAGGTATCATCGGCTTCGACACCTGCAAAGATATCCAGCAATCCTATCTCAAGCATCACGGTTGAGGTGGTGCAGGAGTACAACCTCGAGGCACCTGGATCTTGCCATGTGGATTTGCTGATCTGCATAACTAGACGCTGCGCATGAAAGTGGCGACTGGTGAATGGCGAATTCGGTCAACGGCGGCGCCAAATTGGCGGTTGCAGCCCACTAACCAGAAAAACTCTCCGCTGCGATCTGCCAGGTCCCTGACGATCAAATGGCCTAAGTGAACTGTAATTGTGCAATTGCTGACAAGGTACTCCGTTAAACAAGTAATGTGCGGAACTCTCTGCGTTATAGGCATATATATATCTTGCAACTTATAATGTATGAACATGTCATTCTCGCACTTCAGATGGCTCGCGAGTCGATCAAGTTCGGAACCTCGAGGCAGAGCGCCAAGCCGTCAACTTCCATAGTGTGAATCGTACATTGAAGATAATGTCTACCTCTGAGGTATATACTCAGTCTATATGACGATATAGCCAATCAGCTAGTCTAGAACTCCATGCGCCGCTAGTGCCCATCCTTTACACATGTTCGCCAAAAGCATCGCATTCTGTATATAGTTTTTAAGCTTCCGACAGTCGGCGCCCGGTCTCGGGATTCGACTTGGACGATCCTTCGCCCTCTTCGTGACTCTCGTGGTTGATGAACAGGAAGGAGAGCAGAACGATGCACGCGCCCACCCAGTATAGGAAACTCGAAAACTGCTGGTACTGAATCATTTCGCCAATAAGCGACAGCGGTATCGTGAGCGACAGGCCCACTGTCACGATCAGGGGAGTGGTCAGGAGCATGGCATATGCCCACGACATGTCGCTGATGAACGACGAGATCGAATTGAGTAGGATGATAGCCCAGATCTTCCCGGTAGGGGGCATTTCAAACTGAGGCCTTGGTCAGTGACATATCATAGCGCAGTAGGAAGCACGGAGCTTACAGTTTCGATGCCCGTAAAATGTAGTACAAAGAATAGAGGCCACAGCAGCGTGACATTGAAGATGCCGACGAGCCCAAAAAAGAGCGGCATGCTGACCCGGTCCTCATCGCCGACCCGCAGCTTCATCACCGTCACGTACAGCCCGTATACGATAGCGCTGATCAGGGCCATGGCATCGCCAATGGCAATCTGCCGCTGCGTCTTGTGCGGGAAGTTCCCCCGGTTGTCGTCGTTGTCTTTGCCGGACAGATCCATCGTCGATATGAGAATGATACCCGCCAGCGAGGCGAGGACGCCAATCAGCTTCCGCACCGTAAACGGCTCAACCTTCATCCACGCGCAGAGTATCAACGTCCACACACTACTAGTGGATGTCAGGATGGTGACACTGCCGACGCTCGTGTACTGAAGGCACGCCGACGCAAAGTAGTTGGCGAAGAACCACAGCATGCAGAACTCCAGGCTCAACCACGCCGTCTCCCGCAAGGTGAGCTTCTCTACCGGCTTTGGCAGGTCGAACGCCTCCAGGCTGCCCTCATCGTCGACCAACAGCCGCTCCTCCGCCGTCCTGTCGTCGTCCTGGCCCTGGAGCTTGGATCTTTCTGGGCTGAAAGGCCGCAGCGACTTTTCCCTCCACGCCTGCTGCAGCATTGCCTGGGCTTCGCCAAAGCCGCCGTTCTGGAGTATGTACTTGATCGATATCGGTATCATCGAGATCGCAAACATGGATGTGTTTACATAGACGACAAAGAATGGCTTGTCGTAGGTATGATCTGAGAAGATGGACTGATTTGACCGGTTAGCGCCTACATGTCCCTCCTAAGGCGCCGTGGCCGGCCGCCCAGGCTGTGCACTTACGCTTGCGAGGAAGTTCGAGGCTGTCCATAGGAATACGGTCACCAACAAGCAGGTGAGGCCGAGTGTCCTTCTCGCGACGTTTAAATATGTGCTCTTCCGCGCGGGGCCCGACGCAGCACTCCTCCGCGACGAGAAGGAGGCCGACATATCCTCCATCGGTACCACGGAAGTCTCGGAGGGCCTCCGTCTTGGAGCGTCGTGGTCGGGTGCTATATCAGCCGGCAGCAAGGGCTCGACGGGCGCCATGACCTCGGGAGACTTGGGATGCTGCAAGAGCCTTCGGTGGCTTGGAAATGAGAAGTCGGTCGACTTTGACTCGATGTCATCAGGTGCCGTCTAGCCGTGGTGAGATCGACAACATTGGTGTTTCTGAAATGAGTCCGGTGAGTGGCCGAGAGGGTTGGTAACGAGCGGCGGGCCGTGTGTGAAACGAGGGACAGGAGAAGCAGGTACAGTCGGAAGAGAAGGCAAGTAAAGTCGGGGTCGTTCGTCAATATGATTGTTGTAGCACTGCAGACCCCCCGAGACATGCGACACTTGGAGTTGAGAAGCCACCCTGTCTACGCTACGTTTAGCTGCAGCGCATGGCTGGCCAATCATCCCTCGACGCTGCGCCCGACGGAGCAACCCCATGGATCACCGTCGACAACAACCCTGAGCATATCCATTCACGTCACCAACAGCGCCCAAAGTAGTAATGCATGCAATCCCGTAGATATCTGATATCAAAGATATCAACCGACAGGCGAAGAACAGGATTATCGTATTGAAGATCGGAATTCTAGTAAAAAAGGTGACTTGGCAAACGCCCCAAAGCTTCCCCGTGCCTGATCTATAGCCCGCCGCTGAAGCAATACTCGACTATGTACTGGTACTAGGCACTTGTTACCCGCAGAAACTGCAAAGCATGAACCTCGACCTCGACACCTGGAGGCTGAACAATGTATCACAGGATGCAGTCCAAATGCATAACATATGCTACAGGATGTCTAATGCCAAACTGGGACGCAAGTTGACCTGAATTGCGTATGTAGTCAACTCTCGTGTGATGATGGGATGGAAGAAAAACACCAGCTGATCGACTTCTTGTGCGTTCTCTAGCAAGAGCACCCGTCACGGTCATTCTCGATGTGGATATTGATGGGGTCTTGGAAGTCGCCGCTAAACTCCTCCGACTCCTCTTGTTGCAGCGCATTCCTTGCAATCACTAGGGCACAGTCAGTATTGCGAACTCCCAAACTGACGCCGTGAAACCCTACCTTCAAATGCTTGCTCGACGTTGATGGCCTCCTTTGCGCTCGTCTCAAAGTACGGGATGTCGCCCTTGGAGTGACAGAAGGTCGCTGCTCTCTTGGTGGAGATCTGGTGCACGCCGGTCAGTCGCAACGTCGCTGCAAATCAGCAGCCGCTTCCCAACTCACCACTCTCTTGCTCTCCTCGACATCAATCTTGTTGCCTAGAACAACCTGTTTGTCTGTCAGCCGGGCGGACTGGCTAAACCCAAAGGCAATCTTACGAATGGAAAGTTCTCGGGGTCCCGCGGCGAGGCCTGGATCAAGAACTCGTCTCTCCAGCTATCGAGCGCATCGAAACTCTTTGAATTGTTGACGTCGTACACCAGCACGCAGCAGTCTGCGCCTCGGTAGAAGGCAACGCCCAGCGACTGGAAGCGTTCTTGGCCAGCGGTATCCCAGAGCTGTTCGAAGGTCAGAACTTGTTTCTCATTTGCCTCTCGGAACAGTAGCGCCGTCGTACCTGCATAGTCACCTGCCGATCGTCGACCAGCACCTCCCGCGTGAGGAAATCGGCGCCAATGGTGGCCTTGTAGCTGGCGCTGAACTTCTTGTTGACCTGTGAAGAATCTGCAGTCAACATCCGAGTCCGAGACTAGTCCGCCTTCCGGTGTGTGGCCCGGAGCGCTCTACGGCGAAGGGCGGCGTCGAGAGTGCGGGACGTACATATTGGTTCATCAAACTGGTCTTGCCGACACCGCTGTCGCCGAGGATGATAACCTGTGGGGAAAGACCAAAGTTAGTCGTAGTCGCCGGTGCTTACGGCGTTCGAACCACGGCAACCCACCTTCAGAAGAACCTTCTTCCTAGAAGCCATGATGAAGATTGCCTAACGACTCGGGTCTCGAGGCGGTGTTGAGGACAATGTATCGCAGTGAGCCGACGGCAGGCCGAACTTGGGTTCCGTCCTGGGGGTATATCGACCTCTGAAGCGTCTCGATCCGTCCGGTCGATTCGTGGGTCGAGTGCGGCTAGGCGTGTCGCTGCGGCAGGTCGGATTGCTGTCGGCGGGTGTTGTTTATCGGGAGGCTGCTAAACCACAGAGAAGCTCACGAGATGCACCGCAGTGGATTCGGTCATGTTATCAGCCAAGCGCCGTCATGGAACCGGCCGAGCTCGTCACAACAGAGGCCCGAGCGTCTGTTTGTTGCATAAGCGCCACATACGTCTAAATTAGAGTTGGCCAGGCTGCCACCCGACTGCTGCCAGGGCGTTGATGCGGTGCAGTCGCTGCGTAAGCCACACTTTCTATTAGCGCGATTCCCTTCCGCTTTCACTTACACACAGTACTATTGGACAGCCTCAGGTTGTCTTGAGGTACTATGTACGTGGGTAGAGTAGATGTGGGCTGGCAAAATGCAAACCTAGGACTTAACTGCCTCTTAGTACTCCAGGCGCTGGCGTGTAGCTCAAATAATGATTGCCACTCCAATCAGAGTATGCTTCAGCGTCGTGCACCAGTCTGCTACCGATGCTGGCTACCGATGCCGAGGGGATAAGAACAAGGTTGGTATCAATTCTCTTCGCTTGATTTCGTACATGTACTACTGTAAGCAGAGGCTGTGGGCCATTCGGAATACTGCCACCAAAGAACCATGAAACGCCACAGGCTCATGTCGACGAGCCGCTATACCATCTAGTACTTGTTGCCTCCAGCCTGCCGCCTGCTCTTCCCTAACCTGGACGTCTTGGCTGGCTTGCCCTTCGCACCCGTCTTCATTCTCCTCGCACTGAACCCGCTCATGTCTCCGCTGCTGGTAGCATCCCCGGACTTGGCGTTCTTCTTCTTGCCGCCGTAGCCAAACTTCTCGTTCCTCTTTTGCCTCTTGGCGTTGACACCGCCCTCCCGGCCGCCACGGCCAAATGCCTTCTGGCCGCCGTGCTTCTTCAGCTCCTTCTCGACTCCAACGTCGAAAAGATCGGCCTCGTTGGTGCCAACGTCGCCGGAGGATTCCTGTCGCTCTGTCAAAGGGTTAGCATAGTCTACGGCGAAATCGGGGGGGCGGTGCCGCGTACTCCTCTTCAGCGACTTGATCTGGTCCAGCGTGTCGCGTTTGGCCTTTTGGCGCTCTTGGAGCTTGGCGACCTGCACCTGTTTGCCAAACTTCTTCAGGTCTCGCAACTTGCGCGCCTCACTGGAGGCTTTCTTGGCCGAGGCCTCCTCCACCAGCTTGGCCTTTACTCTCTCCATGTGACCGTCGTCCTTGACCATCTCGGCAAAGTAGTCGTTAGGTCGGCTGAAGGGTACGCCTTCGCTCTTCAGCAGCGTGCGCGCCTTCTTGGCAGCTTCGAGCGACTGCTTGTAGAAGGCCAGCTCCCGCTTCAGATCATCCTGGATATCCTCGATGCCTTCTGCCGTCGGCTCATCGCTGATTATAACTTGATGTGTCGCAAATGGAACAGACTTGTCGGTGGGAATCGCTATACGGTTGAGGGAGGCAAGGAGGGCCGTGGTGTTGTTGATGGTGAGCCGGGTGTGGGGGATCAGGTCTTCCTTCTCGTCGTCGTCGAGATCCTCGAGGTCGGACATGGGGATGTCCTCCTCGTCCTCCTCTTCATCCTCGTCCTCGTCCTCATCCTCGTCGTCTTGGGCCGGCTTCGGGGCTGCAGCTTTCGTCGCCTTCAGGCTCGACTTGGGCTTGCGCTCGATCTTCTTCTCCATTTCGACCTCCGAGTCGCTGCTGGATTCGTCGTGCATGGCACCAGCCATCTCAATGTCTGATTCCTCCTCCTCGTCTTCGCTGTTGTCGTCATCGTCTGATACTGGCGCACCGCCCTCGTCCTCGTCCTCGTCAAGGTTGTCCTCGTCTTCTGCCCCACCATTGGCTGCGGGCTTCTGGACCTTCTTCTTCTGAGCCTGCTTTGCTACCTTTTTCTGATGCAGCTTCTGGAAGTCGACGCCCTTCTCGGCCGCAAGGGCCATCTTGAGTCTGCCTTTGTTCACCATGGTTGCGACGTTTTCTGGTCAATTGGATGTTGCGGTTGGACCGGCGCAAGCTTGGATCCCTAACTTTTGGGGTGAAAGCAACTTTTTTTCCAAAATTCTGCCGCTATCAGCGCGCTAAGCATTCACCGCCCACTATGGTGGGGCGCACTCTCTTATCAGACCTTGCTGTCGGTCCCAGTAACTAAGGTTGTCTACCGGTATGTACATGCTTACAGTAAGTTACTGTAGGTCACCTTTGCAACTCTCAGCCACTCAATATCAGGCCGGCTGTAGCTGATGTTCCACGACGTGTGATGTGCTCATTTGTAAAGAACTGTAGGATCAGTCGCCTTTCCAAGTCCTCCATAGTAGATCCGTCTGCTTGAAGCCTTTGTAACCAATTGAGTTGATATGGCATCTGTCAAAATACACTTCCGTGGCAAGTCCATGTAGAAGGGCTTTCTGTCTCTCTGTGACTCAAACCTCCCAGCTCTGGGTCTCCTAGCAGTTTCACAGCCTCCGGTTCTTCTTCCGCCACAGGTCTTGCTACGGAGAACATTATTAGGTGGTAGCAATTGAGAAACCGTACCCCATGCCACATGCTGGCTTGCATTCGCGTAATTTCCACTACCTGGCCACGTAGAAAATCCTTCTCAGTTTGACCCTGTAGCAGATCCCCCTGAGAGTAGGATGGAACGAGTAGCCAATCACTTAGCATTCCTGTACGTGCCACATAGTGGAGGCAGAGTCGAAATCATCAGATCATGTACACATACCTATATTCTTTACGAAAGAGACATCTTGGCTTGATGACCGGTGAACTCGCCTAGCATCCCCGACCCCAAGGTTTATGCACTTCCTTGTAATACATGGACCTTGAGGGCAAAACTTGTGATTGTAGGTTGAGGCACTAAAGAGCATAAGGGTGCTGGAAGGAGCAACTGGTGTGTAGAGAGTATTTGCTTCCTCTGCTCCCTTGGGGTAGGGTCCCGGTTACGGCCCGACCTGCGATGCTCGCAATACAATGCTTACCATGCACGAAGACAGCCCAAGAAATTTAAGCAAACTCAAAGAGAAAAGGACCATGCCGGTAGGCAATACCCCGCAAGGGTGCAGGCGATCCCTTCCCCGGATTCTAGACGGCAACATGGTTATAGTTTTCCGCAGCCAATCAGGTCTTGGCTATACGCAGTAAGCGACATGAAGGTCTACAAGTCCGGGCATACCAGGGCGGATCATCCTGTACCCTCGAGATGTTTAGTCTCCCTTGCTGCTGATCGGACACGACATGGCTGCACGCGCGTGTCACCATGGCTGCTTCATAATAAGCCCAATACCGCTCTCTGAGGAGGAGGACTGAGTACCAGATGTCTCTCTTACTCACCTACTCCCCGGAAACTTACAAGCATACAAGGCGATGGACCAGCAGAAGAAGCCTGAGGCGCTGGCGACTGGCGCTCAAACCGAAAATTCATCAGAGCCAGAAAAGGGCCTGAAGAAGCAAGATTACCTCACTCAGACAGACGAACAGTACGATGTTACGTTCAAAACCTGGATCGTAGTCTGCATTCTGTCCTTGTCCTATGGTATCTCATTCTGGATCATACCGGCTCTTAGTGCATGCCAGACACAAGTTGCGACCCGGCTCGGCAACGTCACTGACCAGGCTTTCTTTCTCCCTATATACACATTAACCATAACTATTGCGTTCATGGTCTGCGGCGGTAGGTTGAGGCCACATCATGAACACGTCAGTTGTAGAGTGGCTTGACTGACGAATAAACGCGTTTTCAGCCAATAGTGATCTCTTCGGCAGACGGTGGTTCATCGTCGGCGGCAATGTTCTGCTCTTCATCGGTTTCCTGATTGGCGGCAGCGCAAAAAACACCACGCAGATGATCGCCGCGATGGCAATCATTGGGTTTGGCGCCGGAAACGCGCAGCTTGCAGCCTTTGCTGTTCCTGAACTGCTACCCAACAAATGGAGACACATCGCCGTCGTCATTGCAGACATTGGAGTTATCTTTTCTGCCGTTGTCGGACCTATCGCTGGAAGATCAGCTATCGAGCTGTCTCTGGAAGGAGTTAGTCAACCCACGTGGGCATTACTACGAGTGAAAACAAAAGGTTGCTAACGAATTGGCTACACAGTGGCGATGGCTATTCTATGAACCGACGATCTGTGTTTTCTTCTCTTTCATCGGGCTCTACCTGTACTACTTTCCACCCGCGCACCCGCGAGGTCTGCCGTTCAAGCAGGCTCTACGAGAGCTTGACTATGGCGGTGCTCTCCTATTCACCGTTTCAACCGTCCTGATTCTCACAGGGATCATCTACACCACAAGCCTGCCCTCTAATGACCCCCGTGTTCTGGGCACATTGATATCTGGCTTCCTGCTGCTCGTCATATTTGCCTTGTATGAGACATTCATGCCACTCAAGCAACCCTTGACGCCTCAGCATGTCTTCACCGCGGGTGGTGGTCGCGAGCTCACAGCTCCCTTTGTCGCAGGTAGGATACCCATTGAACTCACCTCCCGACCTGACTTTGCGCGTACTAACAGATGGTAGGGTTCGTAGTCACCATGTTTTACTACGCCATCAACATCATCTACCCAACCATGATTTCAGTATTCTTCACAAACGCGACTACTGACTACAAATACGCGATGGTGTTGACTCTGCCGCAGAATCTGGGTTTGTTGACCGGAGCCGTCGCACTAATGGCCTTTGGCAACAAGATAGGCCATTTTAGGTGGACTCTGACGGCTTCTGTCTCCATAATGGTCATTTTCGGAGCTCTTTTAGCTTTGGGTACTCCAGACAGGCTAGGAATGATGGTTGCATTCGTGTTTCTTGCTGAGGTTGGCTTCGGTTGGGCACAGTACTTGTCAATCACGTTCATCCAGTTCGGGACTTCCCAGGAGGAGCTTGGAATATCAGGTGGCCTTGCGTAAGTGTCTTCCTCTCCGTTGTCCTTGATAACCTCGCTGATCATTCCAAAGCGGAGTGGCTAGGTTTGCTGGCGGTGCAGTCGCTATCTCGGTTTATACCACCATCCTCACGAATGTACAGACCAAGGAGGCTGCGAGACTAATTCCTGCCGCCGCCACTACAGCCGGGCTCCCGGAATCTTCTGTATCAGACCTCATAACCGCTCTTTCCCTTGGTGCTGCGGCTCTTGCAGAGGTACCAGGCATTACGGACGACATCATCGCGGCTGCTAGCTCCGCTCTCCAGCAGAGCTACGTCATTGGTCTAAGGACTACTGCTCTTTCTTCATTATCTTTTGGTATCATTGGCATAATTGGTAAGTTATTTTGTTTCCATGTCTTTTTTGACTCTTGATTGACCCTTGGTATAGCCTGCGCGTGTTGCAATGAGATCAGCAAGAAAATGAACAACAAGATCGAAATCTTCCTAGAGAATGATGTAAACGCTGAAAGGAATGTTCACCATTAAATAATACCCCTGAAACATGGAAATGAACGATTCTAGAAATGCGGTCGCATTTGTGTCGAAGGCAAAGCAGAAGATGGGGGAAGACCTTAGGTTGAATGAGCGGATAACTTGTGACAGAATTTGAAGACGTGAATAGTGGCTAATTTGCAATAGAATAATATTGACCTTGTGTGGGGTTATAGTAATGGAAGGCATCACATGAACCACGTAACAGCTCGATTATAGTGACTTTACCCTGCAATTGCGACAATGGTATGTCTAAACTCATCGCTGTTAGCTCAGGCATGTTTGGACTCAAATATGGCACACTTCAAGCATTTTCAGAGAGACAAGTAATTAATTATGCCCTGGCAAGTGCAAAAAATCCGAAGCAACAACCAAGACGGTGATTTTTACCTGGTTTTGAGAAAATATCTGACTCCGGGCGAATTCCTCCAAGCCTTGCCTGTATTTCGGGTAAGACTGCCCGACCTTGATAATTACACCTCGAATAGCGGGGGCCACTCATTTATCGACCCATATAAGATCAAAGAGATATCGATGCTGGGAGGAAAGCTGATCAACTCAGACCAGTGCCCAACGCCGACCTCATATGGTATTGGATTGTCGACCAAAAATGTTCAGCGGCACAAACCGAAGAGCCTAAATTTGACAAGAAATATCAACATGGTCGCACCCGAGCTTTATTTATTTGCGAACGTAAACCTCGTGCCACGCAAATACGATGATGTAAGTCCTTCATATCCCCAAGTGACAAGAGAGAGGAACATGCTTACCGGTAACGAATACAAAGTGGCAGAGCGCATATGATCACCTCGCAGAGTACGTCTGGGACAAAGAACCAACTACCAAGACTTATTATTTTGGTATTCCGTTCGACTTTGCCGAAGACGTCTCCGGCGCTACTCTAATGTTTGCGTTTGAGATCTACGAGAACCGCGAGGTGAGTAGCGACTACTGTTTTTGTAATCTCCTTGAACGAAAGGACAACAACCTGAAACATTCTATAGAGGCTCACAGAAACACACCTGAAGTCGGCGGCAATGGCCAAATTTCTCGAACGCGCCTTGCCCATCATGACGACGGGCCTTGACCTTGCTTACTACACCAAGGTTGGGGGTTTCTTAGACTCTCGGGGCGACCGTCAGGAATGCGGCATCATGCATGACACGAAGATCGAATGCGTCTCACCCGCTGCACGGGAGACGGTGATTTCCGAATTGCAGGCCATTGCCAGAGGTCTAGAAGCTGACGAAGGTGTGTACACGTATGTTATCTGTGCGAGTATGGAAGAGAAGACGGGCCTGAGAGTCTTCGCCCGGTTTCAGAGTAAGGATGATCTGGAAAGGGTGAGCAGGACGGGCAATGTTTTGAGATTCTGGAAGGAATTTGGTCAGACAAAGATTGCCACCATGCAGCAGAGAGGATATTTCCCTAACAAGAAGGGATGGCTGCACCGGTCAAAACTCTGATGCCTTGAGCTGCATGGCGCAGCCAGTTTTAATCATGAGTTCATATATGCATAAATTCGGTGGATGCGAGGTGATTTCTATTTTACTTTATTTCATTATGAATATATATATCTTGCATAGGCATGAAGCTAAGATTTGCAGCTGCCTCTGAACTGGAGTGAATACCGTAGCAAATGCCCAACCAACCCACACATGCTATACTTGTGTTTAGAAGCGGGTGAACGGGAGCCTGAGCAAGTTAGCACTTTTCAAAGTTGGCCGGAAATATTGGGGCAGCGTACCACTTGCCGCGGAGCGTGATGTTCACCCATGTAACGCCATCCTGGTCAACCTCCTTGTCAACCTTGGAGGAGAAGGCAATGGCGCTCATGATTCCATCTCCGAACTTCTCGTTCATGATCGCCTTGAAGGCATACCCATAGTTCTGGACGACCTCGTACAACCGGTAGATCAACGGCTCGACGGGGGGCATGGGGCCGGCGCGGCCACGGTCTGGAAAGCCGCCCATCGTTGACTCCAGGCTCTCCTTGGATACGTTGAGGATCTGAGATAGCTTCGCGATATCCTCCGGCGACGCCTGTGCTTGTCCGTAGAACAGCGCGGCCACTGCCACCTCTCCGCGTCCCAGCTCTTGCGCGATCTGCTCGAAGGTGAGCTTCTTCGAGGCCTTAGCTTCGAAGAGAGTCTTCGAGTAGGCCGGCAGTCTGTCGGCCATGGTTGACTGGATACAAGTGTTAATCGGGGTCATCTCCGAACACTGGTGTGGGCGGGGTAACTAACATCGAGAGTTGCGATCTTAGACTGGTCACTCATCTTGAATAATTGGTATGGGTGAATGTCACTATATCTCAGTGCGAGTCGATATATCAGAAAGGGGTATAAGCTTAAAACCGAGTCAGAAACTCCGACAGAGAGCAGACAATGCAAAACTCAGGTTTTATACTCGCCGACTTCTCGGTAACGTCAAGATGAATCGGCTGAAGGGCCCGCCCAACGTCATGAAGTCTACCCCACATGACCTTTATGCGGAGATAGTGCGGGATTCGGTGTCTGAGGGCAGCGGGCCTAGCCGAGAGGTATTGTCGAGCTGGAGTTTCCTTATAACTCGCCTCAGCTTCACATGTCCTTGCCTAATTGTAAAATTTCCCACTGAAAGCCTATAAAGTAAGCTACAATGCCGTTTTTTCAAGATAAGGGGATGGCTTGAGAGGAAGAAACTTTGAGGTGCATAGAGTTGACCGCATTGCTACCATCGTGAATCATGGAACAATAAAGGCTCTCAAAAACGGAGTATTTGTCTACGTGGGATCACTGAGGTGAGTAAGACGTATATTTCAAAGCTGTTTCTGTAGCGTATAGTGTTGGGGTGTTGCCCTTGTCCAGCTCCAATCAGAATGCGAGTCTAAGTTAGGGACTGGGTTGTGAGCGACCGTCAAGTTGCGGAACCCTCTCGACCACAAAAACCAGTACTCCATCAAGAAGGATATAAGAAAAACAATATCTGACGCCCAACTGAATTCATGAAAATACTAGGGCCGGACTTAAAACAGATTATCTGCCCTATTATTCCTCGCTGTGTGCAAAGTCGACGGGCGGTAGCATTTATCGTTCCTACATGGGAGGTTCAGCCCGAAACCAACCTCGACTAATAAGTTAGGTACCTAGGGAGGCAGGCAAGCAATACAACAGTATGCAGCACCTCAAATGCTTCCATGTAAGGCGCCCCATTGCGTTGAATTGAGAATTTGTCAGGTTTCACAGACCTAGCATAAGCCGCCTGACTGAATAGACCGCTAGGCTTATCATGGTCTGATGGTGCCAAAAATAGATGTCTGTAGCTTGAATGCATTCGCCCGCATGCAAGATGCGATTACCATCGTAGTCAGATCCGAGGCGTCCAACAGGATCTTGGTGGCTGCAGCCATATCTTACGCACGCGCTATATCGCGAGGATAACGAATACTGCGCCACAGGAAATGCGCAATCCGCTGCTAATGTCGCCGGGAGAAGTCTGACAGCAGCTTTCAGCAGCAACGCAGCGGAGGCAAGGTTGACGAGTAACATTGACCTCCCATCTCTACTTACACAGATGAAACGGAACCGTGGCCGGTGACCTTGTGGTGACCGAGGGGCGAGTACACTTCTTTGCTGTTTCACGTTCTGTGAAACCTCTGTGCCGCAGAGCAAAGACAAACATCGGATTCAGGGCCTCTGCGAAGAGAAGAAACAGTCTGAATGTTGTTGTGGCATGCTCCTGTCGAGTCGTCCGAAATGCGTGAGGACCCCCAACGCCAAACTGGGTCAGCTAGAGGACTTGGCAGGATCGTTGGCTGCATCTGAGTCTTCTTGATTGGACTGATGCAGGAGTTTCAAACGCCGCGCTGGTGAACATTGTGAGGAGGTGGCGGGAAACACCGCACTCACACACGCCCATCCAGGCCAGGGCTGGGCGATGCTTCTCATATCTGCATCGAGGAGTTGGTTGGAGACACGCAAGCAGATACGAGCGCGCGCAAGCTGATTAGCATCCCTGGTGTGTGTGTCCTGTAGCATCCATCTTCCGTACGGGTTTGATTCCGCACTGGCCCGGAGTGGTTGAAACTGGCTGCGCCCGTGTGCTCGTTGCTCCGTACTTGGCCAGGGTAGACCAATTAACTGCTAATCACACAGTAGAGGCCAGTCCGTGCTGTGCTAGTCGGCAATGAGCCGAGACCTCGTATTCCGACGTCATTGTTGAGGCTGAAGTAATTGGTTACCAAATATCGTCCGGTTCTTGCTCTCGGGCACTACGAGTGGCCCACTTGGCGAGCCATGAGGCCGTCTCTTCCACGTTGTCCGCGCGAACCCTATTTGGGAATCAACGACTGGTCGGCACGAACAGTGGAAGCAGAGCCCGCGAGGAGGCCTGATGCCGCGCTGCTGGTGGCAGAACTCTGCCGATTGTCTACATCGCTAGTATGTGCACTAATAGATGAGAGTTGCATCCAATTGGGCGGAATCGAATTCGCAGATGCCGCTTCGGGCAGTGAACGGCAATTATCAAGAATTCGACCCTGGAGAGATGCAATTGACACAAAGAATCCGGTTTGTGCCACTGCAGTGCTCCCTCCTTGCCTCCCTCGGTGCGCTCCAGACGGCGTCCAGGCTGCCAGAGTTCGCAACCATTCCTCCGGTCCACCTGAGGAGAGGTGCAGGTGTCAGGTAGCGGCAGATCCCCACTCGTGTCCAGGAGCTCCAGGAGCAGAGACGAGCAGGGCACCCGGACGTCAGCAAGAGTCATCGTCACCAAACTTAAGCATTAGGCCATGGAGAAGCCATACTGTGTGTTGAAGCTCCAGATCAACTTGGACCGAGCATGAAGACCGTCGGCAATATTTCATGCGCGGCGTCATTGGTGATTGAGATCAACATCAAGTCCCCGGCTGCCCTGAACCCAATGTCTATTTCATTCATCTTGGCTCCTCCTTTTCTTTATTGCTTCAGTGAGGGCCCCCACCAGCTGCGGCAGCCTGTGCAGATAAACGAGCGACCCCTGCCCCTGCAAGACCCCGGAAGCTACGGTGCCCAGCCTCCCAGCTCTTTGGCGTCTACAGGGATCTGACGAACTCATTTTTCGCCTTTTGACTTCATATTTGAACGATGGCTGACGCTGACAAAATGGTGGAAGCTTGACTCGACACTTGATCCCTTTTCAGCGGCCCTCTTTTCTCGGACCCGTAGGCCCGGCCGTTTGGTTCGCCAGAACTGAGTTTCGTACTCTCGTTTCTCTAGGCCCTTCTGGGACCTCCCTCGCTACCCTAACTAACGGTCAGCCCAACGGATATCGTGCCGGCCAGCGCTAGTCCACTGACTAGCTAGAACCATTCGCTTCCTCCTTCAGTCTACATAAGTCAAGTCTTCGGGAGCCATGATACCACTCAACTAGTGGACATAGTCATAGTCGTACCACCGTGTCTCTTCTCCGATCTCCGTTGCAGTAGCTCTGCATTAGTCCAAGACTGGAATTCTTATATCACTCGTTAACAAACCCCTCAACTATTCAACTTTCACACCATGGCGAGATATCAGCACCCGGCTCAGCAGCAGCCATTTGGACTTGGGCAGGACGAGAAGTCGAGAAGCACTTTCCCAATCGAAGGAAAACCCGCTGCGCAGAGAAAGATGCCCGCTCGACGGTTACTGTTCGGGTTACTGGTTCTGTTTTGTGTGGCATTCGGACTGGCAACGGCCTCCGTCTCCAACGGCGAGTCTGGAAACGAAGGTGGTGAAGGACAGTCGATCCTTGGCCAGGAAGATTCAAGCCTTGCAAAGCTTTTCAGCTCGGCATCTCCAGAAGCTATCCACCGGCTGCTTCATTCCTACTTCCCCGACACGTTCAAGCATGGCGTCTATCCCTCGGACGAGTCTGCCGTCGAGGCACTCTATTCGAGCGATGCTGCTCTCGCAACGTCTCTGGTAGAGTTGGCAAAACGCCAGAATGCCAGCACTTCCACCGACTCCGGTACAACTGTATCCACAACTGTCATTGATTCAACAACTGCAGTCACCACAACCACCAAGGAGCCGACAACGAGCCCTACGACACAGGCTCCTACAACGACCACACAGACTACTCCCACCACAGCGCCAACGACTACCCAGGAACCAACAACTACACAGAAACCGACGACAGTTGCACCAACCACCACCACGGCGACCTCTGTTGTGACTACACCGACGACTACCACCACCAAAGCAACCAGCAACACCGCCGCTTCGACAACTACGCCTGGTACGTCCATGACAAAAGTGACTTCGGTTCGTGAGACGACTACAGCAGTCGTCTCATCTACTCGTCTCACGTCAGAGTCTCCTGTGTCTTCTCCATCTTCTACTCGTATGACTAGCTCAACTACGGCCGCGGGTATGTGTATAGCCAGGCCTTGTGTGCTCATCTGCCCTTCATGTTTCCAACCTCATCTTGGCCGTGATTCAAGTGTAGTCATCCGCCAATATCAGCGATTCCTCTTTGAGCTCGTACAACTGCTTCATAGTGTGTCCTGAGCTAACCATCTGCAGGTACAACGCTATCCACATCAAAGACGGCTGTCACCACTACATCGCACGCCAGTTCGTCAACTCGGGTCTCGACGTTCACCTCGACCAGACCTGATGGTGGCGTCACGACTGTTTACTCGACTGAAGTAGTCCCAGCGTCTGAATCCACGAGTGCTCCATCGTCAACAGGAGACATCAGTGGTAACCTCCAGCTTGGTTTCGCCGCTCCCAACCACCGAGCCCCGATTCTGGGCGCAGCCATGGGAGTTGTCGTTGGTGCCATTCTGCTGGTGTAAGCACAGCACACCTTTAATCATCTGCATAATTATGGCGTTATTTGAGAAATCGGGTATTAACCCCAGCATTTGCATTATACGGGAGCATCTGGTGGCATATACATTCCTTTGAAATACCCTGGGCAAGCGGCATAGAGAAAGGTGGGATCCAGCATCATGAACTTGGCTGGAAATTTGACAGCAACGTCACACACAAACTTGATAGTAATCATTGCCAGAATGAGTAAGGCATCAGGCAACTGCACAGATAGCCTTGAACAATAATAAGACAAAATAAGCAACAGAAGTAGGATAATTCGTAGATGTGAAGTCCAACCAAGCTTGTCTATAGGGGCAATTAATTGGATACTAAACCCACACACTTCAGTGACGCCTTCGCCGCTCTTGGAATGGCCTTGTTTGAGGAACGAGATTCGTCCGCTCTTCCAGATCGCTAAAGCCTTGTTCCAACCCCTCGGCAGAGCCGAGGTATGCGTCCCTTTGCGGAAGCCATCGGTTGATACCAGCCAGGCCCACATGTGGCATGCAGGCTTGAAGCACGATGTCTTCCGACTCGCACAGGGGACCGCTTCGATATTGGACCTTTACTGAGCTCTTGTCGCAAGTGCAGCAGCCGACGGCATGGACGGCACGTGGCGCAAGGCCTAATTGAGATCCTAGGTCTCGAGACAACGCGATGCTTCGCAAGAAAAAGAGATTGCACATGCCAAATCAGGTGAAACACAAGAAGCCAGACCAAGCTCTCATTTCCATGACAGCGGCAGCGGAGGTTCGTTCTTGGTAGCCACGCGCCGTGGAGGGTATATTCCTTGTCGCAGTAAACAGAATTACACACACGTGTCCGCCATGGACACGACCGGTCGTCCTTCAGCCAGGCCCGATCTTCGGCATGTCGTGGTGCTCGCTCAGTTTCGAGAGATACGTGTTGAGCTCCTCCACCCTCTCCTTGTGCGTCTTCAACAGCTCGGGCCGCGAGCTCGACGACTTGGCCAGTTCTAGCATCTGCGCGGATTCACCAAATGTTAGTCTTTGCCCAGCGATCCCCCATTCTTGTGTGATCCTCCGCCACCGGTCGTCGTGGTAGGAGGAGGGGAGGCGTTGCTTACCTTTTTCCTCTTGAACTCCTCGTGCCGCCGCTCGGCCTCGGTCTTGTACTCGGCTCGCTCCTCCTCCTCTTTCTCGTCCTCGGGCTGGGGCGTGCTGTCCGCCGAGCGCTTCCTGGGCTGCTTCTCCAGCGCCTTGCTGCTCTCTGGGGCCTCGCCGGTGGACAGCGATCGTTCCAGGTCGCTGGGCTTGTCCTTCTTCTTTTTCTTGGTCTTCCCGACCTTGCCGCCCTTGAGCTTCAGGGCGCCCCCTCCGCCAAACGACGCGTAATCGTCAGATGGCATGTTGTGCGTTGCATGTGTGTGCTGGAGAGAGTTTGAACGAGGTATCATCCAGGTCGCGGTGCTTTCAATGAGGCTGCCGACTCGACTGCCCCACACGTGGGGAACCATGCTGAACCCAGGCCTAGGGTGCTGGCTGGGACAGATTGATAGTTTTCAATAGACAAGCAGCTCCATGAAGTGCCATATAATAATCACGGTTCAAAGTAGTGACTTGTTCCTTTTAAAATCTGCAGCATCCTAAATGTAGAAGTACGTGGTTTGCGTTAGGGTAGTAACTAATGGATCTGGAAATAGACCAGTCGGCACATACCTCTAATTGTATTGCCTACACTTCTTGGGGGAAGGGAAACAAGCAATGATTTAATATATTACAAGCTATACCTTTCTGATGGCAGGAACGGTTGGCATTTAAGAAGGTCTAGTAAAAGAAATACACAACTTCTATCCAAGATTTGATGTCCCCTTTCAAAGTGTGGAAGTGATTCGAAGGTCGACAGCATCGTGATCGAATCTTTGAGCAGTTTTGAATATCATCACAACAAGAGGAAAGATGCAGCCAAGGAAACCAATTCTTCACAGTTACTTACGGACCAGTGCCTGTGCTGTACAATATCACGATGGCTTAGAGTCCAGGACCAGGTACCTCGATCACATATTCATGCCAAGACCTACCGCGGACCCACCTGCGCAATTCACCTCAGAGCCCCCGACCCGCTTGAGGAATTCAGAATTCAGCCGCTCCTCACCGCCCCGCCCCACCCGCGAGGTCTATAAAACTTCGCGCTCGTGGTCGCGGCCTTCGGCCGCCCCCAAGATTTTGAAGGTCGATCAAAAAGTATTAACTTTTAAGACACTCGCCACGACTTTCACATCGATATCTACAGTGAAAAGTTGCCTTCCTCACCACGAGGAGCTGTGTCGAGACCAACATCCTTATAGGAAGTCTTCCGCGCGTCCTCGGACAATGCGCGGTAGATGTCGAAAATCGGGGAGACATTCCAATTTTTAATGACTAGAATTTTTTTGGGTTTCCATGCCACACGCGGTTTGTGGGCCAGGCGCTCAGAGTCCTGAAAGCTGCCGGAGAGAGCGCTCTGAGCCTATCGTGCCGTCGTTGTGATCAGCGTTCGTAGAAAATTTGGGCGCTGTGCGTCTGTGACGGCTCTAGAACGAGAAGTGCCCTTGCTCCGATTCTCCGCTTCATCGGTCATGACGCTGATAATTGTCCTGCAAATCTCTGCTCGACCCCGTAGCTCAGGTGCATGTTGTTTTCTTCCGTCCGTAAGGGAGTAATCTTCATCGCCTGGCCAAGGCATGTGCTGTCTCAGCCCATGTTTTTCGAGATCGTAAACGGCCATCGAGGCCAGCTGGCACCTCAGACCCGCTCATCTCGTCACCATATCTTCAGCTTCGAGTTTCTTGGGGGCGGGGGGGGGGGGGGGGGCTCCAGGCTGGTGGAATGCCCCGTAATCCCCAGCCATTCTTGCCTGGCGTTGATCGCCCTGGTGAAGCGATGAAGCTCCCGCTACCCAGCGCAGACGCCCTGAGACACCCGAGGACGACGCGTTCGCGGCGCTGCTTTCCGTCTTCGTTATAAGATGGCGAGCGCAGCCGCTGCATTCGTCTGGATCCCTCTCGCCGCTCATCAGCATCCCTTGGGTTCTCGACATCTTGCCACATAATCATAGTCGTTCGTTACTTGCCCTTGTGGCTGATCACACTCATTTGAACCTAGGGAAGCAATATTTCGTCTTTGATCTCGCGGGTCACTGGATCTAGTATATCGAACCACAAGTGAAAAGATACGGAAGCCCGAATATTCACATACCGCAACCCCCCAAATACAGCAAGATGTCTACCGCCATTATGAACGGGACCGCGACTTCGGTCTTCCTCTCCTGCACGCCGACGCCCGCGACGCAGACCGTCTTCACCACGGTCTACGTGACCACGCTGCCGGCGGCCTGCGCGACTAGCTCGTGGATGGCCACCTACACGGTCTCCGAGATCTGCAGCGGCAGCCCGGCCGACTACCGCCCCGGGCCCATCCCGGCCGGGTTCGTCGTCACCACCGTCACCTGCCCCTCCTGCAAACCCACCGAGCTCACCATTACCTGCCCCGGTGCCCAGCCCACCGGTGCTGCTCGTACCGTCTTCATCGAGGGCAACGGCGTCACTGCCTCTATCACCCCCTCGCCGGTTGCCCCTGGTGGTGGAAACGGCGCTGGTGTCCCCCCTGTTACTGCCATCGGCTCAGGCTCAGGCTCTAGCTCCGGCTCAGGCTCCGGCTCAGGATCCGGAACCGGTTCTGGTTCCGGTTCTGGTTCCGGTTCTGGTTCCGGCTCCGGGTCTGGCTCGGGCGCGGGTTCCGGCGCGGGCTCTGGTTCTGGTTCTGGTGCGGGTTCTGGATCAGGCTCAGGCTCAGGCTCTGGATCCGGCTCTGGCTCAGGATCTGGTTCCGGCTCTGGTTCCGGCTCTGGTGCTGGCGTTCCCCCAGTCAACGCAAACGGCAACGGCAATGGCAATGGCAACAGCACAAAGCCCAGCCCCCCAATCGCTACTGCTGGCGCCCCGGCAGTCAGGAGTATCGTGACGCTCTCCCTTATGGTCGTCGCCGCGGTGCCATTCGCGCTTCTATAGGTCATTTGGTGTTGACTCTGGTGAGAGGTTTTGATGGGCGCCGTGGCTCTTCTGTTCAAACTTCTCGCATATGTTTCATGACTTGATGTAATTTCGCTCTTCTGTTACTGTTTGGGGTGTTGGAATAATCATAGAGTGTCGCAAGTGCAGGATCATACATGTTCGGGTGGGTGTTGAGTTGAGGGTCCTTATCTTTCATCTGGATGATTTTCTGCATAATTCAAATGAAGTTTCTAAAGCCGAACGCTCCAGTTGTGATGATGCCAGTTGCATATAACCCCTTGCCCAATGATGGAGAACCGTCAATATTGTTCCTTGCAGTGAATTGGCAACGCCAAAGCAAGGTATCGTTGGACCGGCAAAGACTTCAATACTTTGCAACTACATCTTGAATAGCCAAATAGTCTGTGTGGTTCCCCTGGGGTACACTCCTCAAATCTACGGAGTGGTGTAGGCCCTGCACTTGCCATGCATCCTTAGCGGAACTCAGAACTCATTGACGATCTTTTATTCCAACCCCTTGATTCGTTGTGTGACGAGACCAGCTTTTTACTGGCGTTATATTCTACAAATGGGAGAATGAGAACCCATGCGTGCCTGTTTGTACAAGTGACTTCTAGAACAGGTATTGATACACCTTCCATAGGAAGCTCCTTACTCCACCACAATCTTGCCGCTCTCGGCCGTGCCAGCCACCCCGCTGACGAAGACCGATGATATCAGGTCGCTCTGATGCCTCTCGACCATCTCCTGGAGGGCGGACCTCTCAATGACCAGCCTGCCCGACTCCAGTAGATCCTTGACGTCCACATCGGCCACATCTAGGGCGCGGCCGTAGTTGGGGACCAAGTCAAGAGCTCCAAACAGGTCCTCTCTCCATGAGCTTGTGATGAAGGTGCTGCGGCCGTTCTGCTTCCCCCACTCGTTGCGCTCCATCACCTGGCGTGCCCAGCGGGCCCTGAAGCCGTCGATCAGCTCCTCGTCCTTGACTAGGCCCTCCTCGATCATGGCCTGAAACTGGGCCGGGAGTGCAAGCTCCATGCCGTCCGAGCATACCACCAGCTCGCCGCGGCGGTACCGGTAGCTCAGCGCCGTCCGCCACGCCAGATCGTAGACCTTGCGGTTGAGCTTGGTGCCAAAGTCGCGCGGCTTGGGGCCGAACGTCTTACCGCCACCTTTGCGGAGAGGCGACTGGGCGTCGCCAACACGGGCGCGGCCGAGACCCTTCTGGGCGTATAGCTTGCGGCCCGAACCGCGGACCTCGTAACGTGTCTTGGAGGATGCTGTACCTTGACGCGTGTTGTCGCCCTCGTAGACGACGGCCAGATGAAGGATATCGCGGCGAAGAGGGAGGTTCAGGTGCTTGGAGGACCACGCCTCGAGGCGCTGGGGTTCGTAGGAGGGAAAGTCGAAGATGGTCAAGGGGACGGTCGGGGTGGGTCGATATGGGGAGGAGGCGGCAAAGCTGTCTATCGACGTCGAGGTCCGCGGGAGAGGGGCCTCTGTGGCCATTGACCTCGCGAAAGAGGACGTGAGCCGTTGCTGGTCCGTTGTTAGCGGTGACGCAGGGTTGCAGGCAGAGCTGGATGTCCGCGAGTATGGGATGGCTACATACTGATGCGGCTTCTCTGCAGGTGTGTGACGAGAGACTCAGAGCCCTGAAGGCCTCATTGAGGCCTCTTGCGCTCTTTCCGGCCATGGTCGCGACAGATAACGACACAGCCTGTGCTTGTCGCTGGGGATCTCGTGATAATCCTGAGCTCCGGGCGACAGCTTCTGCCTGGAGTTCAGTTCGACCCTCGTAGTCTTGAAAATTATCGAAGGTTTCGGGTCTGGCAGGTGCTGGCGGCCTGCAGAGCCAGCGACGGGCACAGAAAACAGCGGGTCTCGCAGCCGTCAGCCGCGGCCCCTGTCCAGCCTGTCGGTCGGGCGGTCGGGCGGTCGGGCGGTCGCGCCAGCAGCTTCAAAAAAGTTCGACCCCGAGATTGCGAAACGCTGCATTGCGTGCACAGCTGACCTGGAGCTTGCATGCCCGCCCATCACGAACCATGTCGAGCTGTCAGAGGGTCGCAAGACCCATAACACGGTCGTTGCAGCAGAGCCACGTCTCGCACATTTCACCCTTCGCCCTCGGCCGTGCTTTCAGCCAGAGTGCAGCCAGGAAAGATGAAGTCCCCCCGTCCACGACCAGCGCTCCCGCTGCAGAGCCCGTCCCCAGCCCGGCCAGCACCGCGGCGTCGCCTTCAGAGCCCAAAGCCCCCTCGGGCGTCGACCGGGACACGGTAACGGCGTACTGGGCCGAGAGGAGGCTCATCAAGCAGGGCACGCCCCCGGTTGGCTCGCGCCGTCGCCGCGCTGCCATCAAGACCTCCGAGAACATCCCCTTCGAGCAGCTCCCATACCAGGCCTTCCAGGAGGCCCGCAAGATCCTGCAGGAGGATCGCCAGGAGAAGCTCCGGGCTCTGCAGTCGACCCTGGCCTCCATCAAGAAGCTGGAGGAGACGCCCGCCGACCAGCTGCCCGGCGGCGAGAGGAAGAAGAACATGCGCCTGACCAGTCTTCGCGCCCACGTCGAGGAGCTCAAGATCCTGGCCGACATCAACGACCCCATTGTCAAGCGCAAGTTCGAGGATGGCCTTGGTGAGTGCATTGCACCCAGCGCACGTTGCGTCCGTCCCTTACGAGCACAGCTAACACGGATATCCCAGGTGACATGAACAAGCCCATCTACCGCCATCTCGCCGAGAAGAAGTGGCGCGGCTACCCCTTCCGCCTCATCACCCAGCGTATCGAGCAGCTCAACATCGTGCCTGATGTGCTGCCCAAGTTCGAACCCACCGTCGATGTGCAGATGTATTTCCGCCAGGACAAGGTCGAGCCCGGCGAGATTCTGCCCAGTCTTGTCACCGAGAAGCCCCCTCGCCTCAAGGTCCAGGTCTTTAATTCCGGCGAGCGCCTCATGTCCGTCGTGGTCATGGACTCGGATGTGCCAAACGCCGAGACCGACAGCTTCGATCGTCGCTGCCACTACCTGGCTGCCAACGTGCCCATCTCCCCAGACCAACCCTCTCTGCCCCTATCCAAGGTCAACAAGGAGACCCAACTGGCCGTCCCTTGGCTCCCGGCCTTCTCACAGATGGGTGCTCCTTACCACCGCCTGTCTGTCTTCATCCTCGAGCAGAAGCCGGGCGAGACGTTGGACATTGCCAAGCTGAAGGAGCTGTACTCGGCACGTGACGGCTTCAGCTTGAAGAGTTTCCGGGACAAGTTCGGCCTGAACCCCGTGGGATTCAACATCTTCCGAACTGTGTGGGACGAGGGCACGGCCGGCGTCATGGAGCGAGCTGGTGTGCCCGGTGCCAACATCCAGTTCAAGCACAAGCGGGTGTACTCGCTCAAGGGGGAGAAGAAGCAGCGTGGTTGGGAAGTCAAGCGACAGAAGCCCAAGTACAAGAGTCTGTGGAAGTACACCCACAGAATCCGCGGCCTGCCTCGTTACAAGGGCCGCAAGTTGGATTAGGTGTGTTGATATATCCTCCGCGAGACGCGTGCGTTGGGGCGACATCAGCCTGCCGCTTGGGAGGCTTAATATCCCGTGGCCTGGCCTCCAGATGGCCGGATTTACGACACAAGATAGCAGGCAATCCATTGTATCATATGTATAAAGCATCGGATGTAGAGATAGACAGGCCGGCGCTGTATCAAAATACTTGTACACAATCGAGCTTGATCTAGACGTTCAATCAAAAGTGCATTCTCACAGAATTAACTAGCCTTATGTCTGCAGTATGAAATCTTTTCTTTCTTTCTTTCTTGTTCATTCAGTCATTACTTCATTTGACAGTGAACAGGTTCTTCCGTTTCATTCTCCAACGCCCTCCGTCGTCCCGCTGCATCGTGACCGAAAGCCATCCGAACCCCTCCATGACCGTGTCCATGAGCTGGTCCTCGTACTTGTGATCCAGCCCCATCCGCACCGTTCTTCCAAAGACTTGAATCTTGCCCCCAGCCGCCCTGCTGCCGGTGCCGCCCGCCTGCGTGCTAGAGCGATACGGGCTCTGTGAGAGCTCGGGGATTGAGCGCGTGCGCCTGGGCCTACGGGTAGCGGGGGATCGCGGCGACTCCGCCTTCTCGGCCATACGAGCAGGCGGACACGACGGCGATACAGACAATGACGGAGAACGCAGGCAGCCCACCGGCCGGAGCGGGATTGCATGCCCAGCGACCGAGGGCACGGGAGGCGAACGCGCGCCGCCTCGTCAGTTGACGTAGACGAAGAGGTCCGGGTACTGGTGCGTTGCGTCCACAACTGCCTGGCTGACGGTGAAATCTGTGGCTCTGTCAGCACAAAATGTTTTGGGAGTCTATATCCGTGACGGCCATGCATCCGGCTTGTAATGAGCTTCTTCAGGACCAGACCTCCCGGATGGTCATTTGTCCAATGATTTTTCAACGTACCGACATTGTTGCCCAGGTCAACAGAGCTCATGACCTTGATGGAGAGGTCGTTGTTCACCTTTCCGATGATCTGGACTCCGTTTCCGGGGGTGAGGTGGGCTTCCTAGATCGTCTACGTTAGAAATCACCTCCCATCTGTCTCAAGCAGGCCAACCACGAGAAGCTGTGGTGGGAGGGTTACTCACCCTGTTCAAACTCGCGGTGACATGACCGTTGGCTTCGATGACAGCCTCCTCGCCGCGCAACTGGAGCACCTTGCCCACGATCATGACATTGCGACCCACGAAGGAGCCAATGATCTGGCCGGAGATGCGAGGGGTCGAGATGGGCTCCATTGTGTCAAGGCGAAAGATGGCGGGAGAATAAAACACGGGCAGGTAGACGTCGAGTTTCTGGCAATGAATTTGCAGGAATTGGAAACCTTTGCGTCTCGGTAATCTACTAAGGTAGTGAAGTCCGAAATATGGGGGAGCAGAGTGTTTGGCGCGTCAAATGCAGGCACTAAACGCGACCGACGCGGGTCACGAAGTCACATGATCTCTAACATATGCGACGACCGTTCATTGTCCGCCGCACGCACGCAAACAAGAAGGAGTCGGAGAGACACCCAGCGAGGAGAAGAACCGCGAACCGTCTGCGTTGGGTTTCAAAGCCTCTGGGGCGTCCGCAAAGTGCAATGGCACATAGATCGCCTGACATGAACGGCCTCTAATGACTGTAGGATTGCCATCGTGGGGAGCCACATGGGGCCGCAGGAACCCGAGAGCACGTTTTGAAAACACGACCTCACTCCCAGCATTCACCATGTTGATGCATTATGCGATGCGGCGTCTTGGCGGCTCCTCTCGTTATCGTTTAGATCCGCAACCTACGAACTTGTTCCTGTGGGATTTGGAGTCCAGGGGAAACTACCGGGGTCCCAGGCTCCTGCACTTGGGGGGAGATCTCGATGGTATCATATGATATGCAGCGACATCAAATCTATCAAGTAACTGTCTTCCTTCTGCAGGCACAACCAACATATCATGACATTCCTAATGATAGCGAACTCTGAATTTCGCCCCGTCCCGAAGACCCCGAAGCAACAGCCCGACACCACCGGCAAGCCGAAGTGGGGTCCCGGCTTCGCGGGGGCCTGCAGGAGGTAGGGGAGAGAGCCAACCTGATCCGCAGCCAACCAAAAACATGACACGGTAAGGTGATAGTGATCAGACATGCGTAGGGCCACAGGTGTTGGCCGCTGTCTCAATATGAATCCAACACACCGTTACAATCATGTCAGAAACGAACCTTTGTCGCCTCGAAGCAATAGTCCGCGCGCTTGACGGCGCTTACGAGAGTTCCGGATCGGGGGTGAGCATCATGAACAAAGGAGATACTGGCATCTGAGTCAGATGTACAGATATCTCGAGAAGGCTCGCTGGTTCCAGAACTACAGTGAGAGTATGCAGCTCGCATTCTACATAGTACGTCGGTCAGGACCGAGACAACCGTGTCTCCGAGGTCTGTGAATTCTTTAGAAAGGACGATGCACCAAGTTCGCGGATGGGTTACCATGAGCGACCATGGCAACTTGCGAGATAGGGACTTCGAGTCTCAAGACCATGAGCACCGGCCTATCGAATGCAGTCGGGAGTTGCAAGAGCATAGTATAGACTACACTGCCTTTGAGGGCACTTGGGGGCCACTTAGGCACTGTCTCATACTTTCCTCTTCCGGCAGCAACGACGATGCGCGCATTACCGCTTGCGACGGCTACGGTACGACGCATCGTGACCGTTTGTGCGTTTCGATAGCCGGGTGCCGAGGATCGTCTCCAAATCTGCCATCTGAAGGAGGATGCCCTTTGACCCTGGACATGTAAAGTGGCGTGTACGCGGTCGGAGGCTCGTAAGCCCTGTCAGGGATTCCTCATGCATGCAAAGCAATCTGAGGTGGGCTGGTCACAAGAATAGCGCACAAGGGCTCCCATTCGCTTGCGGAGCGAATTGATGGCAAATTTCCAAGAGAGCTTCGTCCAGGTTAGAAGCTGCAGTGTCGATCAGGTCCAACCCTCGCCATCAATCGAATGAGATGCAGACGCTTACCTCAGCCGTTTTGGTCGACAACAATTTCCGGAAGTCCAATGGCGCCCCACACGCCCGTCGATCGTTTTAGGGCCGCCAATCAGAATGTGCAGCTGCCGGCGCTGGGAGGGCTTTGACTTCGCCTGATCCAGGGGAATGGCTGCCATCCGCAGCTTCAGAACGGCAGGATGGCGACTTTCTCACAAGGCAGACTCTATACTATGCCATTCTCATGTGTCACGTCGAGACTGTTCCATCGTTCCTGAGCCTGTAGAATGTGGCTTGAGATGTTCAAGCCCCGCGCAACGGCCACACACATGCCTGGGTGTGTTCTCCGCAGACGCTCGCGCCTTTCAACGGGTAAACCGAATTAGTCTTTCTGGCAAGCTGCTTCGGCGAACCCAAACAGCAACTGATCATCCAGTCATGGAGAGTAAAACATGTGTGTGTGACTGGACGACGGACCATCGGGCATAACTCGTGGTTTCTACCTCCGCTTCGCCTCCGATTGCGTGCATGTTGGAAATTCCCGCGCCGGGGAGAAGAGACCTGCCTGTAAGCTCGCGCGGCACATAAGCCAATTTTGAGCCTACATCCATGTAGGCGGCTATGCATCCCTTGGGGGAGTAGCTCATATCTACAGGATACACCCTTTCATCTGAAACTCTCTCCTCACATATTTGATCAAGCCCAAGGAGAGCGTTTTACAGCCAATAAGTGCACGTGGTCGCAAGTTTGCGATCGTCGGTGCCTTGAGTTGCCAATGTCGACTCAATCAGAAGCACTCATGAGACGAGGTTCTGGGCCTCGAGCATAGCCCCGTTAGATGGCAGACTGGTGGCCAAAAACTTGGCCTCTTGATTTCATCTTTAATCTCATCTCAAATCAGTGCCAAACTAAACCGGCACAAAGCAACAAGTGTTAGTGCTTTTGTCATTGCAGCCCAGACTGTATTGGATTTCTCTTTCTCCTCATCACGATACCTCCCCCTGCCTCCCAAGCTCGCTGCCAGTGTTAGTCGTTCGAAGAGCAGAACGCTTATTACCCCTCCCGACTCGCTCCAGACATGGCAAGGCCAGTTTGTCCTCGAACCTAATAGCTGCAAAGTATTAGTCACTGCCAATCGTCGATTGACAGCCGGGCCGGGCAAAGTCAAAAGTTGCGATTGCCAGCGTCTTCCAAGCCGAGCCAGGCACTAGGAGTACGAGAAGGAATCCCGCCCCCTGCGACCTACATTGGGCCTATTGAAAACCGTCCGTTGTCACCTCCTCTAGACAAGCGCAGCCCGACGTTACGCCGCAGACGGTCGAATCAATACATCTTATAATCCATCCCACCATCCCGTCGCAAAAAAGTCAGGCAGTCAGGCAGAGCATTGGCTGAAAAGAAACGTTAAGAAGAGAAGGGAGAGACCTGATCTTGGCTTTCAACACACGTACCTGGGCTGTCCCTTTGGGCGGGATCCTGCTTCGGCCCTGGCATGCGGGACGTCGTGCGGCTTTCACGCTCCTCCTGCGCCCCGTCCTCCAAAAGGATCAGAAAAATCATACAACCCAAAGTAGCCAACAAGGGCTCATTATCTCACGACCTCGTCGCCCGCTAGTGCCATCCTTCCCGACTTGTTCAGGCAAGTGCTAGTTAGCGCACGCCTCGATCAAATCTCCACCTTCACATCAGACCCAGGCTCGCGGAAGCCATTCGCCATCAAGTCGCTGAGCCTTGCATGCTCGAGCGGGATAACTCCATGTAACCTGCGGAAGGCTTTCACACCCGAGTTGGATCGCAACCGTGCTTGTCCGGCGCTAGTTTCCGCCCCCAAGACTGGAAGGGAAAGCCCGGATTGAGGAGGAGTCTTGGGTTGTCAGTCAGACGCGGCGCACGCCAGCGGCTTTGCACTCAGGACACACCAGTACTTCTCGTTGGCGATCGGTGTTGAGTATGGCGCATTCTCTTCCCCAAGGCATGGAAGAGTCGTCGCAGTTCTTCAACTACCCCATCGAGGATGAAGACGATGGAGGGCATCTGGTGTTCGATGAACCAGGCGGTGGTGCCCAACCGACATATCAACAAAATTTCGCGACAACCCTGTTTCCCGACGAGGTATCATCTCGCATGATCCCATTTCCAGCAAAGCCACCACAAGCTCATCCCAGAGCACAATCAGCCTTGCCTGCTCGAGCTTCGGCTCAGCGTGAGGTCGGAAGTTTCAGCTTGGCTCAGGGCGCTCCGCGTCAGTACGGCAACCTCCTAGCGGCACCGAAGGTTGATGGTGTCCCCAACGAGTCGCCCGGATTGTCCAGCGGATCATCAGCTACCCCGGAGACGAGAGGATCTGCCAACATAATCACACCTCCAAATATGCTTGCAGGTGCAAGCCAGCCATCAAAACCGTTAGATGCCATCTTCCCACCACCAGCACCACTGCCTCCACCAAGAAAGCGACGTCCTCGGAAGCCAAGGGTGAAGAATGAGGTGACGCCTGAGGAAGAAGCGGCCAAGAGAAACAAGTTCTTGGAACGCAACCGTGTTGCTGCCACCAAGTGTCGGCAGAAGAAGAAAAATTGGATGGGTGATTTGGAGGAGACCAAGCAGGAGCTTGAGAATCAAAATACCCAACTGCGGATGGAGTATAATGCTTTGATGAACGAAGTCAGCCAAACCAGGGCACTTCTGATGGCACATGCCAACTGCAACGATATCAACGTTGACAAATGGATTGAGAATGAAGCCAAGCGGTTCGTGCTCGGGGCGGGTGAACGATACGACTTGATGCTGGCCAACTTTGACACGGCAGCTGGGCCCCAAGCAAGACATGAGAGCATGTCGTCAGTCTCGGAATATACAACAGCGGCGGGCAATGACATGTTGAGTCCCACGTCACAACGCGCGAGCATCTCCCTGCCACGGGGCATGGCTGTACCAACCTCACCTGTGTTCTTCCGGAATCAGATGCCAGAGGAACTGGGAGCAAGACAAATGCCAGGCACGACCCAGCCGCCGTACATGTTGGAATCTGCTGGACCGAACGGTACCAATGTCTCCGCATTGGACGATATCAGCTTGTCCAATGACATGATCCAAGACGGTTGGCCCGCACATCCATCCTGATGACATGTATATGGAAAACGAGCTGTCGGTGGCGACAGTGCCCCAGTGTTCTCCGATTCGACTGTAGCAAAAGTCCCGTGAACTTCAGCAGGTTTCGAGGATTTGATGATTGATGATGATGGGCAAGCTATACCCTAGGCGTACGGTGTTTTGGGAGTATGGGCAGAGTTGCTAGTCCCATTGATTTTCGTATAACCACATATACCAAGCACTGGCTTGAACCTAGTGCCCCGGACGTAGGACATCAGGGCGTACACATGGGTGAAAGTAAAGGGACAGTGTTTTCCTTACCGTCGCTGATATCATCTAGATAGTCGATATGAAATTATTTATGAAGTGAAGCAAGGAGCAGAAGGCTGAATGATTCATCAATGAGCCTGAAAGACCCACTGAGTCGTGCTCTCTGGGGGTGGAGACCGGCCCCACGGACAGACGTTGGCATCGGCGTAAACTCGCAGCCGACATTTACTGCTTCTCATTCAAGACGCTCCCTTCCCTCGAGATTCATTCAAAGGGTCCTTTGACATCGTACCGAAATGGTGGGTCTTGCCGGCCAAGACATCGTCCGTTGCTGGTCTCCACGTCTTTGGACCATTGCGAAGCAGCTACTTCCGTCCGTTTTGGATGCGCGACCCGGCCCATTGGGTCGATCATACCCATGTCTCGTACGCACTTCTTTCCCAACGATCTGGGTCAGGCCTCAATTCTCCGATTGGCGGTTGGTTGCAAACTGGTGGTGGTGCCTGCCCAGGTTCCGGTCTTTGTGACTTAGCCGGCGCTCTGTGACGGTCGTGGATGGCTCTTCATCTCGCCGACACTTGCCGTTGTCCTAACCGACCCGGAAGTTCCCAGCACACTTCGAAGCGGAGCCCACAGATAATTGTAACGACCAACGTGGGGCTGTACTCGGGGGTGTCTTATCAGTTAGGAACCTGGGAACGAAGTTCGGCAAGACCTTGAAGTCGTTGTAAAAGGCAGCAATGGCGCAGGAATATAGAAAAGGCGCAACTCAGCCCTCTAGGTTGTCATATTATATGAAAAAAGCCAATGATTTCAAGCGTCGTAAAGCCACACCAATCACCACATGTCTTATTGCTAGCTGGAGCAGCAGCCTTACAACCGCGTGGGTCCCCGGCGCCGGGGACGTATAAATCAGGGCATCACGCGTCAAAATGACTTCAGCATTTCCAGATTGGGGTGAAGCTGACAAGGTGATCGACGGCAAACCCCGGATGTACGTAGTAGGAAGAGAGAGGCCCGGGCCCGATCTGCATGTTTTTATGCACATGTGTACTCTTCCCGCTCCCAAAATTTCGCAATTTGGCCTTTGTCTTTCTTTGTTAGGATTTCGTTTGTTGTGTAGAGCTGACCACAACACGGCGGGTGTGACGTGGGGTGGACGCTGCCGACGTCATGCTTCGTTGATCATGGGTCTACCGCCCCCCAGCCTCCAGCCAGCCCTGCGCAAGCCAGCCACGCTACTTACATACATACGATTAACACGCAGGGGGTCACGATGCAGAATTTCTAAGGCATAAGTTGCTCCTACTTTTGGAACCATCATTGAGAAATGTTTCTTTTTGCTCAAGACTTCCCGACAGGCGGCTGATGTGTCAAGAAAAAATGAAACTTAGATCATCGTGGTTTGCCCCTACCTAAAGAAACCGTTTTCGCGGTCTACGGATGAGGGAATGATGGCATTAGGTAATCGCGTAGGGCACGTCAAAGGGCACATGAACAGAGTGGAAAGGAAGCCTGATCCAGCATCCAAAGGCTGCAGAAGGTTTGATCAAAAGCGACGCGTGCAGTGAACAGGCACACCCAATGCTCTATGAAACAGCAGTTACTACATAGTTTACACAAATTGCCGTTTATTCACTTCCAGCCTTGGGCTTACACTATGCTGTGTTGTCAAGAAGTGTAGGCTTTTTATCGGGGCCTGCTTCCCTGGCAGTAGGTCATGAGTAGACATTATCTCAGGTGATCGGATATTTCGTAACATAGTAAACATCCTACAGGAAGTCGACTCGCGCGGATCAATCCTGGAGGAACGCGACCTGTAAAGGCCAAACAATCTGACCTATAATAATTATTCCTACAGCTATTTTAGATATTTCAGCAATACATTTACCAATAGTCGACCGGGGTACGTGTTCTTAAGTAACCATAGCTTCCAATCGTTTGAATGATGAAGACTTCGAACACCTAGCCAGATCAATCTACAGACCCTTTCACGGGATTGAGAAGCAGATGTTCATGTTGCTGTCTAGGGAAGTTGGAAAGTTCTCCTAAGGTAACCCGTTGGTCGTATTAGGGGTCGTGATTCTCAAGGACATTCTAGGTCACCCTGTCTCCAGCCTAACAACCATGGTGATAAATGTCTCCTTGTGGAGCGCCTCTTCTCAAATATCGTCTTGGATTTGTATTTGAACACCTCATACTTATTTGTTAATCTAGTTGAAGGTGGTGGCACCTTGATTTTCACACCCAGAGGTGGCAAGAGTAGACACCGATACGCTCCGTTGTAATAGAATGGAGCGCTCTGAACTCACATTGCCCTGTGCAGCTATTAGAAGCCCAATTTTGAACGTTAAGGGTTTCAAATTCACTGGAACAGGCGAGGTGCAAGGCAAGAAATCATAAGATCAAAATAAAGTAGCGCATTCTCAACTTCTGCTATACTTTGCAAGGGCATATCATTGCCAACAACTTAAGGAGTTCTTTCAAGAGCCGCACCCTGGTATTTATCGGAGGAACCACACAAGCAAATATGCAGCAATACTAGTTGTCGTCACATGCAGTGAAGCGATACCTGCGAAGTGGGCCATTGCTTCTAGCTTCGAATACGGTTCAGAGTACCGGGCGAAGAACCCTCACTTTCGTGGCATAAGCCAGAACGCGACTGCGCCATGGCGCGCTCCCTAGTATCACTATATTCGCGATGATTACTCCAGATCCAAAGCTTGCTCCCGAGCACTGACACTCGTTGCCCGGCTCGCTATCTACCGATTTGGGCAACCCTCCGGGGGTTATAGTCCCGAGACTAGGCTCTCGCCAGGCTCACCTGGTTTGCATAGAGACAATCAGCAATCAGCCAGGGCCATGACACCCTTGGGGACACGTATGTGAAGATACAGGCAAGGCGCCGATACGGATCGACGAGCGGCTTGAAACTGCCAGTGCTCTCTAAATTGGTCTTGTCTAATGGGATTGTGGATCAAAGCTGAGGCCTAGTATACTGACTATTCTACTCCGCCAATCTTAGCTTGGATCTGAAACTAGCGATCCCATCCACCTGCCAACACACGTCTCGGGTTCCGACCCGATCGAGTCTGCAGCATTGGCGGCATGTCGATCCGGGGCGAGCCGCTCTCATGGACAATATCTACGAAACTAGGTTGTGTAGATCTTCTTGGGGGTCTAAGCCAGCGATTGTCAAGAGCCTCAAGCGTCGCACTTGAAGAAGGGGTTCGCATTTAGAGTTTGCATCGCTGCGTAGTATCTTCCGAACGGTACCTTTGAATCCATTGCTGCTTACTAGGTGCTGTTAGAAACACATCGGGCACACTCAGCCCAAAGTAGGCACTTATTAAAGAGACGACATAAATAACTGCAATAAGGTGTGGGACCAGATCTTGTCGTGACTCTAGGTCTCCGTTGCCACACAACAATCAACAATTACACCCGGAGCGTCGTGCTCTGCTCTTTATAACACGAACGACTAGGCGATACCCATCCGGCAAGAACATAGATCAGGCAGTGCAGCTCAGTGGATTGTTTACAAACGTTTCGTCCCATGATTTGAAGAAATGAACAACGCTCGCACGCAAAATGATAAGAGCTGGAGCTAAGGGCCGCGCGGCGGAGACACTTGAGTCAAGCAACTATATTCCATCCAGGGTCAGCTACTCGTGAGGATGGCAATAGTTACATCTTGCTACGCCGCAAGGGTTTTTCTGCACATTGGTAAAAACGAGCTCCGGTTGCGAGAGGTTCAAGGGTGGCAGTCTGGGGTAAGCCCTACACATTGAAGGACCTCGCTGCTGATCACGTACCGTTGAGGTGTTGGTAGCGCGGCGGCCGCACACATCGTTCCCGACGGTTCCTTTCCTATATTTACTAGTGTCAATGCACCTGAAACCTACCAGAACGCCGGAGCTACCCATCGTCCATGAATAAGGGCTGGAGTACCAAACCGGCCTCAGCCTCATCGCATGATTTACTTCATTTGAGCAGTTCGAGACCCTGCACTTCTCACCTCAGCCCAACCTCTTCTAGGTCCCCTAAACAAAGGCAAGTGGCTCTCATGAAGAAGACTAGAGACTCTAGCCGTATGTCATCTCCACCCTACAAGGACTGGGAGGCCAGAGGGACAACCTGCTACAAGGCGTATCCCCGGACTGCTGCCATGGAGCCGTGGGACTCTACGCTTTTGACATATATCCCGACTGCATCATGCTCCAAATCGTTTGAGTCGAGGGAGGATGGTGGGCCGCGCTTGCTGAGCCGTGCCCCTTGAGCTAGCACTTCGTGTCGGCATGCGCGATAGCGCTGGCTTATTATTTCAGCACCTGAAGGGTCGGTTTTTCCAACGTTGAAGTATGGGACCATATTCTCGTCTTTGTGATTGATTCACTTAATAGAAGGCTTATGTAGAAACACGCTCTGGTCTACATTGCCTGGAAAAGTGACCTCGTACTCAAGATGCCTATGGGAGAGGTCGACCAGTCAGTACGTATATCCCATGCCACCTGACTACGCGCATGCTTCGGACTAGAACATGGGACAAAGACTGACTTGTTGTAGTTTATTAACGAAGTATGGATTCTCTATGCTGTCGGTGTGGTAATACTGGTCCTTCGGTTCGTGGTGCGCATCAAGGCCGTGGGCTTAGGTGGTTTGCAAGGCGATGACTATTTCTCTGTGCTGGTTCTCGGCTTGTTCACAGTAGATGCGGCGATGGTCGATCTAGTCTGTAAGTCTTTTTGTTGTTTGCTCTCTCAACAAAGCAGTCTACCCGGGGCTAACAGCAAAACGGGCAGATTATGCAGGAACCAACGTCGAGGCATCAGCAGTACTAGAAACCCGAACCCTTACCGACGACGAGATCGCCGAATACACGTTCGGCTCTAAGATGGAGCTCGTGGCATGGTATTCCTATACAGCGCTGATATGGGCCCTGAAGGGAACAATGCTATGCTTCTTTAGACGGTTAACCGATGGTCTTTGGCAGTATCGCCTGGTAAAATGGCTCATGTATGCTTGCGGCGCATCTTACTTCGTGGTTGTAATGACGGTATGATTTGTTTCCAACCAGAGCTGCGCGACTGCAAGCGCCGGCTAACACATATCCTAGGTGACATTTGGATGTTTCCCGACACAAAATAACTGGCAAGTCGTGCCGGACCCAGGCCTTCAGTGTACTTTCAAGAGGCAGAACTTCTTGGTCACGGTCGTGTTCAACGTCATGACCGACGCCGCCATTCTCTTCGTCCCTGTCCCACTCCTCTGGGCTTTGCAGATTCCCCTGAGGAAGTGAGCAGCCCTCATAATAACAAGCCTCTTATACGTGTAGATGACACTGACCTCTCCATAGGAAACTCGTCATTGGTCTCCTCCTCTGTTCAGGCCTCTTCGTCATCACGGCGGCCATCATTCGCGTTGTGCTGACCCTCGGTGCCCACCCCTCGGCGCTGAATGTGAACCGCTGGGGCGTGCGCGAGACCATCGTCGGCATTCTCACTGTCAACATTCCGATCCTGCGGCCCATGTTCAGCCCGACGTTCTGGAAGACGGGCCAGCTGTCGAGCGCCGCGGGACGTGGCACCACCACGACAGGCACGCGTACGCCTGGCCCGCTCGGTGGCGCCAAAGGGCCCTACGAGATGACAGGCGGCCGGACCCTTTCGGGTCGCAAGAGCAGCTTTGGCGGAAGCGAGGACGCCATACTCAATAGGAACGGCAGCGTCGCGCCCTCCGTCAAGTCAGGGGCCAGCGGGATCACCGTTCCGGTCGTGTATCATGTCTCGAGAGAAGAACACCTGGCGGAGCAAGGGCTAAGCAGATGGAACACCAGCGACAACGGGCCGCACACGGCCTATAGACGCAGCGGGAATGTCTTCTAGGGCTCCAAATCCTGGTAGATGAGGAGAGAAGGGATGAGGGGGCAAGAATATAATTTGAAATATCATACAGGACACGAGTGAAAAAAAAAAAAGAAAGAAGAAGTCAAGAGGCACGCGAGCGTGCTGTTAGGATTAGTTTGCTGGCGTTCAAGATACCCAAGTGCCTGGAGGCGCACTTTATGTATAACACAGGCATCGAAGCGTTGATTCGCGGACCACAGGACGCCGGGGGGTGTCTGATGGAGTTTGTTTATGTAAACAGAGAAGGACACCAGGGCATTATACTGATATATGATAAAAACTTGAGGATATACTAAAACCAAACAGTTCAAGTGAATAAGTCAAGAGCCAGAATGTAGATACATCCATGTGAATGATTTCCGAGTTGCCAGTCCGTTTACCGTGCGCCACTAAATTACCTAACTGTTGTAACAATGCTTCCCAACTCCCCTTCCCTCATGATGCTGTGTAACACGGCACTGTCCCTGTTTCCCTTTACACCTTGAAAAGGAACCCGAAATCAGTGGTCGACGATTTGTCCGTTCTCGCCCTTCTTGCTCCGGTGCTGCTCCTTGAGGAACTCCTCGACCTGAAGGTCATGATCCGGCCGGTGAGGCGGGCCTGGGATGGACTCAGGCACCTTGCGACCTTCGTCCTCTTTCTTCTGGGCTCCTGTGCCCAGAATATTGCCTACTTGTGGTACATACTCGGTGACTGCAATAATTCGGGTCAGCAGCCCACAGACTGAATGTGCAAGGCGAGAGCTGTACCTTTCTCTAGGAGGGTTGGTTGAGGCTCTTCCTTGCCGTAGTTGGGATCTCGCGCAACACGAGCCTTATGGTCGAGCTGCTCCTTGAAGGAGGGTGTGGTTTCTTGCTGTGTTTGCTGTGCTTGCTGCGTGGGGTTGTTGGACGACGACATGTTGTAAGTGAATTGGTCTCGATGCTTTCTATGCTTATAGATTGAACACCTATTTCTGATGAGTGTCTATCTGGGTAGAAAACAAATGGTATAGGAGATGTTCCAAAAGAAAAGAAAAAGAAAAAGCCCTTATGCGTCGATCTTAATCCATCTTCAGCCCGGGTTCTGGCCCAGAGCGGCCAGACATGCAAGCCAGCCAGCCAACCACAACGGGGCGCCCAACTACGTCATCCCCGTGCCGCTACCCGAACCCCTACCCACGGGACAGGCCCCCCGTAGGCCCCCGTAGGCCCCCGGTCTTTCTTGGGGCCCAGACGCTAAGATAGGCTATTTTTACGCATCCTGCATGCTGCCCCTCGATCCGATAAGCCTCCAACTTACAGGAGCATGGAAAGTTAAACAACCCTTTGGCGCGGAACCTTGTCTGATAATTCTTTTTCTTCAGATTCGCGCTGAACCAAACGGCCGTCACACGCAACAAGATCAGCCGACCCTCGTTTACATCCAGAGACCGACCGAACGAACAACCCCCGAGACCCCGCGGGAAAAGATGGCGCCCATCCCCATCACCATCGTGACGGGCTTCCTGGGCAGCGGCAAGACGACGCTGCTGCTCAACCTGCTGCCGCAGCTGCGCGCGACGAACCCGGCCTACAAGCTGGCGCTGCTGAAGAACGAGTTCGGCGACCTGGCCGTCGACAGCCAGCTCGCCAGCAGCGCCGCCATCTCGGGCGTCCAGGAGCTGCTCAACGGCTGCATCTGCTGCAACCTGGTCGGCCAGCTGTCCGTCGCCCTCGCCGAGCTGGCCGACACGCAGCGGCCCGACCGCATCGTCATCGAGACCTCGGGCTCTGCCTTCCCTGCCACCCTGGCCATCGAGGTCAACCGCCTCGCCCGCGAGACCGGCGGCCGCTACGTCCTCGACGGCGTCGTCAGCGTCATCGACGTCGAGAACTGGAAGGGCTACGAGGACACCAGCTACACGGCCCGCATCCAGGCCCGCTACACGGACCTGATCGTCTTCAACAAGTGGGAGCTGTGCGACGAGCGCCGCTTCGACGACTGCCTGGACCGCGTCGGCGACCTGGAGGTCGATGTCCCCTGGGTCCGGAGCGACAAGGGCAGGGTCCCGGCGGACGTCATCTTTGGGATTGATGGCGGGCTGGCGCGGGCGCTGACGGGCGAGGAGGGCCTGGGGGCCGATGGGCACGCACATGGGGACGGACAAGACGAGCATAAGCACGACCACCAGACCGAGGTCGAGGTCCTCTCGGTCACGCTCAAGGGGGCCAAGGGGGCCGCGGTGGACTCGACGAAGCTGATGGCGCTGCTGAAGGCGGCGCCCAAGGACGAGGTGTATAGAATAAAGTCCGTGCTGACGGCGTCGTCGACTGTCAGGGACTCGGGTGACGACGAGTCGCTGCCGACGCCGCCGCACCCCCCGACCCGGTATATTCTGAACTGGGCGTTTGGCCGCTGGACGTTCACGGCGCTGGCGGGCGGCGAGGGCGAGCACAGCTCGAGCGACGAGATACCCCTGCGCATGACGCTCATACTGGCCCGCTACGAGAGCGCGAAGTGGAAAAAGAAGATAGAGGACGGCGGATTGCTAGAGCTGGAGGGCGGTGGGAAGGGGGAGTTGGTCGTTTCCAAGATTGCGTAGATCTGATTACAAATTATGAAGAGAGATATAGTATAGACATAAGATAGATGCCAGCTAAACAACGGACTGTACTGGCCGTTTCAAAGAACTCAGAATAAGACCAAAAAATTGGATAAGTCAAGAATGCATTTCTCTCCCAAGTGGTATCATCTATGACCCGGTCGCCGCCAAACGCCATATTTAACGCTAAAGATTCCGCACATGCAAATGTTCATACACATCCCAACCACGCTGTTGGAGCATATCTCAGTCCGTCCTCTGCTTCTTGTTGAACGAGAACCCCCCGAAGCCTGAGCCTGAGCTTGATCTCTTCTTATTCCTCTCCATCTCCTCCTTCATGATGCGTTCGGCCTCGCTCATCTTCTTCTCCTGCTGGAACGGGTTCGGCTTCTTGGGGGCCCCTGCGAGTGCGTTCTTCTTGGCCGCGGCAAACACGTTCTTGGCCTGAGGCTTTGCCGGGCCCATTTTCAAGGAAACGGGGGCCGGAGCGGCTGCCTTAGGTGGTGGTTGTGGTTCTGCTGCTTCTGTGACTTCGGCAGCATTGGCGGCAGGGCCTTCCTTCTCCGGGCTATCTAACGTCGTCCGCTGACCTGCTGCTGCTGCTTCAGGCTCGGCTGGGGCAGCTGGTTTCGCGCCGAACGACAACTTGATCTTCTCGCCCTCGTCTCGCTTCAGTGCGCGGACCTCGGACCCTTCGTCGTCGGCGGCATCGGGGCGGGCGGCCGCCGCCTCCTTCTGGGCGCGGCGGATCTGCTCGCGGAGCATGCGCTGCTCGCGCTCCTCGTCGCCCTTGTCCTGCATCTCCTTGCGCTTGACGGCCTCGCGGCGGCGCATGGCGTCGGGCGAGTCGTCGACCCAGGCGATGTGGATGCCCTTCTCGTTCTCCTGGACGCGGCAGATGCCCTCGCGGCCGAGGTGCTTGGCGAACTCGGTCAGGCTGGGCCACTTGGTGGCGTTCATGTGGACGTGCTCCTTGTTGGCAATGTACTCCTGGTAGAAGTGGTTGATCTGGACCTGCTTCTCGCCATGGCCGGTGCGCAGCAGCTGCAGGAAGTCGCGCTGGAACTGGCGGCTGAAGTCGTTGATGGCCTTCTTGGGGTCCTCGCCGACAATCATCATCTGGCGCACGTGCGACTCGGACTGGGTGTGCATCTTGAACCCGTTCTCGTCGCGGCACTGCTTCTTGCAGACCTGGCAGTACCAGCGCAGGCGCTGCAGGCCCTTGCTCTTCATCTTGTTGCTCAGGTGCTTGACCGAGCCGACCTCTGCTTTCGGCATCTTGGGCGGCGGTGGGTGATTGCCTGTCGGGGGAGGAGAATGGGGCGATGGGATGGGACGTAGAGGGATCGGTCTGTGGAAGTCGACGGAGGCTCTGTGGTTGTCTGCGAGGTGAGCGGCCTGGGTTAGGTGTTGATCTGGGCCGAGTGCACAGCTGTGATGGGCGTCTGCGAATGTAGAAATGGGAGTTGTAGACAGAGCACCCAGACCAAAGTACCCAGTTGCCAAGGGACCTGGTACTGTACTATGTACCTACGACGTGGGGCCAGGTGCTGGACGGTTCAGACTGGCTTGAAAACGAAAAAAGTTCTTTATCTTATCTGAGCTCCCAGGAAACACTAAACAAATAATGGCGGCTACATGGGTGAGCGTCCACATGTCCACGGGTGTGTGCGATTTCGTTTCAGTGGTATTCGCCCCGTCTATAAAATGAATTGGGAAACATTATGGAAATATTTGACCCGGCAAGAACTCCATAGAACGCCAAACGGTGCAGAAAGCGCAAGTAGGTGCCGGCTTATAGAATGTCATCGTCGTCGTCTTCGTGGTCGTCGTCATTGTGATCTGCTGCCAGAGCCAGCGGCAGAGGCACCCTGGCCGCCTTCTTCACGGCGGCAGCGTTCGCCTTTTGCACCTCGCTCATGGTGTTGTCAGGGTCCGAGTCTCCGTCCTCGTCCTGATCAGCTGCCATTTCCTGGGGGACCAGCTTGTTGATCTCCTCCCACGCCTTGGCCCGGGCCTGGATGTTCTTGGAGCTGCCCTTGCTCTTCTGCACCTTGTTCTGCGTGCGCTCCATGATGGCGACGGCCCTGTCCTGGTCCCTCAGCGCGCGCTTCTTGGCCCGGGTGCTCTGGTTCCGGCCGTGCTTCTGCTTCTTGCTCACGCCCGCTCCCTGGTGGATGGCGAGAATCGACGGCCGGTGGTTGATGGACTCGGGCGGCGGGCGGACATCCTTCAGCGACTTGTCCGTGTTGATGCTGGGAGAAGTTGCTCTCCTGGCCTCGCGCGAGTGCTTGGACGGCGCTGCAACGTCTCCATGTTAGCTATGCGCGCATGGGCGTAGAAGGTCTTTTGTTGCGTTGCCTCACCCTTTTTCTTGGAGACTGCGGTCTTTGCCATGATTTTGAAACTGCCTGGGTCTTTGTCGCGATGTGCAGATATGTGCAGGAAGTTCCACTAGCGCTCTGATGGAATGCTTTGACGACAAACCCCCAAATCCAAAATTTTGGGCGTTGCTGCCCCGCGGCGAGCGATAACAGCGCTGATAAGCCCTGCGTCCAGCGGGCCAGCGGGCCAGCGGGTCAGCGGTCAGTACTATCCAGTGTATGTCGGCGGTCGGCGGGTCGGTACTGTAATGGTCCAAAATGCCCGAAGGCCCTGGAAAATAGAAGCCACTTTTTGGCACATGCAATTCCGTTCCTTCGCTGTCCCGTCGTGTCCTGTTTTGTCTCATGTTTTTTCCCCCCCCCTCGCCCACGCGACGGTCAGCTTTTGGTGGTCCAGGAACATGATCATACGACGGTAGACAACTGGCCGACCCGAACTCGTCATCTACTACAGAGCTTTGCAACATCAACCACTGCGCCGGTATGAATAGAACATGGCTCGCCTCGCCCTGATCTCGCTCAGCCAAACCCCAGATGCGACCACGCGATCCTGAGCCACCCACCAACTCACATTCACCCGAATGGCTTCAAGGATGGATGACTTGCACTTTGCGAGACAGTATTCACGGCCGGGATCACCTACTACGCCCCCATCACTCCTCGACTGGCTGCAGCAGCCGTCCGTCATCATCTGCCTTGCCGTCATTGCCCTGACGGCCTTCTACCAGTCGCTTCACTCCTCACCCTTCGCAGACCACCGCCACCCCGGCGAGCTGCTCTGGGATTGCATAATCGCCATCACGCCCGCCTCAGTGCTGTATACCATCGACGACTGGCTTCACCCGCCCATGTTTCCTGCGCCCAAGTCTCTCCGACCCCGAACATACGTTGCGAAGAGCGAGCTCTTGAGAAAGGTACTGGGCATGGACCAGCCAGGGGGTGGCCTCATAGGCTCGGTCGCGAGCGCAGGCAGGAAGAGCCTGTCCACACTCTCCGGCAGCACCCTTCTCAAGCGCGACTGTAGCCAGCCCGCCGGCTTGGGGAACATCGACTACTCCTGCTTTCAGAACAGCATCCTACAGGGCCTGACGTCCCTCAGGCCGCTACCGACCTACCTGGATAGCGCCATCACGCCCAGCCCACAGAGCCAGCAGGATTCGCCGGAAGAAAGCTCGGCCAGCTCTCTGCAACAACTGATTGCCCAGCTGCGGGACCGTGAAAACAACGGAAAGACCCTGTGGACACCGCGCAAGCTCAAGTCACTTCACACCTGGGAACAGCAAGATGCCCAGGAGTATTTCTCCAAGCTGTTGGACGAGGTGGAGAAGGAGGTCGCCAAAGCCTCCAAGGAGCAGTACAAGCCGCCCGGCGTTGAGTCTGCCTTGACTCGCGACGACACAGAGAGCGAACATAGCGATGACAGCGGCTATCAGTCTCTGCCAGCCTCTTCCAAGGCGGTCTCGGAGGCCAAGGTGGCTCGAAACCCGCTGGAGGGCATGGCAGCGCAGCGAGTTGCCTGCGTGCAATGTGGCTTTTCAGAGGGACTGTCTCTGATCCCGTTCAATTGCCTGACCCTGCACCTCGGCGTGGGGACGATGCAGCATGATCTTTACGAACTGCTTGATTCATACACCCAGCTCGAGTCTATCGAGGGCGTTGAGTGTGCCAAGTGCACGCTGCTCAAGGCGCAACGCCTGCTCAAGATGCTGCTCGATCGTGCCCAAGATAAGCCCGACGAGCTGTTGCAAGAGCCCAGGGCCAGGCTGGAGGCAGTCGAGCTCGCTCTCGAGGAGGATGATTTTGAGGAAAAGACGTTGAGAGACAAGTGCAAGATATCAGGGCAACATCGATCCAGCTCGACAAAGACCAAACAGGTGGCCATAGCAAGGCCGCCTCGCAGCCTGGCCATCCACATGAACCGATCCGTCTTTGACGAGAATACGGGAAACATGTGGAAGAACTTTGCTGCCGTCCGATTTCCCAGCACCCTCGACCTTGGCCCGTGGTGTCTGGGCAGCGCCAACCAGACAGCGCTATCGCGTGATCGAACACTCAGCATCGACCAAGAAAGAAAACTTGACGAGGACGAGGAGTCGTGGGTGTCAGACCCCAAGGCGTCGATGATCTCGGGCGACAAAAACCCGTCCAAGATCAGCGGACCCATATACGAACTACGTGCGGTCGTGACCCATCAGGGCCAGCATGAGAACGGGCACTACGTCTGTTACCGAAAACACCCCGGTCTATCTCCAGACGAGAAGGAGACCACGACAAATAATGATAATGAAAACCAATTGACAGACGAACAAAAAACCTTGGCCGAAACCACCACGGATGACGAGAATGTTGAACAGTGGTGGCGACTGAGTGATGAAAGTGTATGGAACGTGACTGAGGAAAACGTGCTGGCGCAAGGCGGCGTATTCATGCTGTTCTACGACTGCGTAGACCCCCACTCCGTTCTGGCATCCGAGCAAACTCGACAAGGCTCCCCAGTCATAGGCAAGGATGAGAACGATTTTGGCATTGGCGAGGTCTCTCGTGCGCCAGTCCCCTCAGCAGAGCAGCCGCAAGAGCCAGGCTTGCCCAGGAAGGATGAAGACCATCATATGGAGGTCCGAGAGGTCGGAGATGTCCCCATGCAACAGCCAGTTTCACATGGGCTGGCAACACAGATAAAGCCAACTACTGTTGCTACCGACCTCCAGCGACGGGACGCGTTTGTGTCTTCCTTGCTGACCAGGCCAAATTCATCGAATGCCCCTCTGTCTTTGGTTGCAAAAGAAGGCCCGCCCGTGCCATCTTCTGCGCCTGTTTTGACGCCTGCAGCGGCTGCTTCAGACTCATTTGTATCCTCGCTGCTTGGGCGACCAAATGCATGAAGGGAGAGAAGCTTCCCGTGGATGGGACGGTTGGATGAAGGGGCGCACAAGCCTGGGATATGCTTCTAGCATTGGCGGCCGATTCTTTTTTTTCTCAATCTAGCATAGCGACGGTGTTGGTAGGACATGGGACAAAATCTGGCCAAGGGTCCTGTGACTGAGCTGACTGAGCTGATGTGCGCCCTCGCACTTGGGGCGACGTTGATAATGAGATCATGTTCGAGAGCCCGATGTGCCGGCCCATGCCTTGTGATCAATGTAAGACTCGTCTATGTGAATGCAACATAACCTCGGGAGTGTCGAGTACCTAGGACCTAGGTAGACAACGACAACGTAGTCCCCTCTGCTCTAGGTTCATCGAGTCTTCGTTATAGGCTTGACAGGGGTCTTCTGCAGCTACATAGTAGACCATGTACCTCAGGTACCCATAGGCAGCCCCACATAATATCTTTAGTGCTGGGTACCTTCGCCTTCAGTTAGCTGCAGCTCCGTCAGAAAATCAACCGCCACCCGAGTCTAAAGTTGCGGCTCTGCTCTGGTCTGGTCTGCAGCCTGGATCTTTAACGACACCTTGACGCTGGTCGCCTGCACCTCACCTACCAATTCCACGACCGTGTCGATCGTCTTGAGGGCGCTGAGAAGAACACTGATCCCCTTAGAAATTTGAGCTCCAGTGGAGAGGGCATCGAGTCCTCTGCGCCCGTTGCTCTCACCTCGTCCTTCTGGGATCAGGTTCCACTGCCTACCACAGGGCTTTCATACACAATCACGTCACCTCCAGCACTCGGCAAACATGTTCTCAAACGCCAATCGCACAAAGTTTCAGCGCCATCGTGCCGGCAAGGCCAAGGGTGGCGACTCCTCCTCCGACTCAGAAGCTTCCGACGACGAGCAGCAGCAGACGCAGACCAAACAGCAGCGTTCGGCGCCCGCACCCCCACCGCCAAAGGTGCCCTCGGCCGGCAAGATCATCAGCTCAGGATCTCTAGCCAAGGTCGACCTCGATTCGCGCAGGCGCGCAGGCGCCGAAGCCGAACAAAAACGCGTGGCTGCCGAGGAGCTGGCGCGCAGGGCCAAGGAGGAAGGCTTCGTGACGGAAGAGGAGAGCGAGGGCGGCGATGACGACGATGACGAAGGCTCAGAGGACGGCGAGGAGAGCTCAGAAGAGGAGGAAAGCTCCGAGGACGAGCGGCCGCGGCGCGCCCTCATGATGCGGCCCAAGTTCATTCCCAAATCCCAGCGCAACGGCAGCGGCTCGGCGGCAGGGCAGGCGCAGCAGGACGCCGAGGAAGAGCAGGAGAAGAAGGCGCGCGAGGAGGCCGAGCGCAAGCGCGCCGAGACGGACGCCATGGTCGAGGAGCAGATCCGGCGCGCCCTGGCGGCCAAGGCGGCCGGCAAGAAGGCGTGGGACGACGACGACAACGAGGAGGAGGACGTCGACACCGAGGACGAGAAGGACCCCGAGGCCGAGTACGCGGCCTGGAAGGTGCGCGAGCTGCGGCGCATCAAGCGGGATCGCGAGGCCGTCGAGGCGCGCGAGCGCGAGCTGGCCGAGGTCGAGCGCCGCCGCGGCCTGACGGACGAGGAGCGCCGCCGCGAGGACGAGGCGCACCTGGCGCGCCAGCGCGACGAGAAGGACGCCCGCGGCCAGATGGGCTTCCTCGGCAAGTACTTCCACAAGGGCGCCTTCTTCCAGGACTCGGAGGAGGCCGAGGCCCTCGCCCGCCGCGACGTCATGGGCGCCCGCTTCGAGGACGACGTCGACCGCAGCCTGCTGCCCAAGGCCCTGCAGATGCGCGACATGACCAAGCTCGGCCGCAAGGGCGCCTCCAAGTACCGCGACCTCAAGTCCGAGGACACGGGCCGCTGGGGCGAGTTCCGCGACCACCGGCCCGGCCGCGAGGGCACCGGCGGTGGCGGCGGCTTCGGCGAGGAGAGGTGGCGCGAGAGACGCGACCGCGAAGGGCCCGGTGGCGCGAATGCGATCCCGCTGGGCGAGAGGAAGGCGCAGAGAGGTGGCGACGACGACAGGCCGAGGGACCGGGATCCGGATCGGAGCAGCTACCGGCCGCGCGGCGGCGACAGAGACCGAGACCGGGACCGGGACGACAGGGAAGACCGTCCACGCAGACGGTCGAGGTCGAGGTCAAGGTCGCCGCGGCGGGACCACCGGGACCGCGATCGGGATCGAGACGGAGATGGCTACGGGCACCGCAGGAAAAGGGACTCCTCACGAGACGCGGACCGGTATGACAGCGACAAGCGGCGGCGTGTGGACGCTAGGTAGGGAAGTACTTGAAGATGGCACACATCATTGTGAGGGAGGTGGACTGCAGTTCCACGCCCGACGGGGTCAGGCGAAGAAACTCGATACGACGATGCTTTATTATTACGTCTGCACCAACACCGGGACAGTTGCTTTGACTTATAAAGTTGTCGGGCATTACTCAAAATACTACCACTATCCTGTGCCACTGCTTAGGTCGAATGCCAAAGATAAGAGCAGATTAATTGGTTAATCAACCAAGTCTCATTGCCACCCTATGATGAACATGTCCATAGCACAATAGTGACCCTTAATGGCATAGACCTCGCCCATCGTGATCCTTAGTAGCCTGTCTCTAGCCACCATGTAGATCTATAACGTGAATTCATACTCCGACCAGACTCATTTTCTCATCAACGATGCCTCCTATATCCTCGTGATCTCCACCCGCGCCCGCTCGAACACCCTGTGACTGATCATTCCACTGCTACCTGCCTCGTGCAACGTAGGCGGGTACAGCACCATTCTCGCGTATGTGCCGGCGCCCCTTCGCTTGGACAGATAGCCCGGGTTGATGACCAGCACGCTCTCGACGACCTGGCACAGGACGTACGTTAGTGATACTGTGACAACATGCCAGCCGGCGAAGGAAAGTCTGTGTAGGAAACAGGGCCAAAAAAGGGGCTAACAATGATAGGGGCAAGAACTCACCTTGGCAAAGGGCGGCAGGGCACTCGGGACCACCATAACGTCGGGACGAACGTTGACCATATCGCCCAGGCGCAGGTAGCTCGTATCGAGCATGGCGCCGGTGGCGAGGCCGTCGGCAGTGCCGGTCCGGGGAAGCTTGGTGCGGTCGGCGGGCGGGAAGACAGGGAAGTAGTGGCGCTGCTCGATCAGGTACCGAGGCAGGCGGGCGAGCAGCTGGGGGTCGGCAGGGCGGCCGCCGACGAGCTCCTCGTGGCGCAGGTCCCAGAGCGGGTCCTGGGACGAGACGCCCAGCACCGTCTCGTTGAGCGACAGCGTCATGGGGTTGCCGATGATGCGCGCCGTCTTGGGCAGCCCGAGCTCCTTGCGCGGGAATGGATCCTGCGGCCATGACACGTGCTTGGCGATGACGTCGCGCACCGACGGCACGAGCAGGATCGTGATGGTCGGGTTGGCCGACACGAGCCGGTTGAGCGCCGGCGAGATCATGTACTTGAAGACGGTCGACATGGTGGCCGCGTCCGGGTCGACTTGGGCGTCCTCGGGCAGGTCGAAGTCGCCGGTGGCGATGAGAGGGTGGTCGACGTCGATGAAAGGACCGGTCAGAACCAGCGCATCGGCGTAGGTGTCCGCAGCCTGGCTGCACAGGGCATGTAGAGGTTCAAAGTCGAGGTTGTCATCCGCTGTATAGGGGCCGGAGCCGAACATGACATTCAGGGGCTGTGGTTCGTCGTCCGAGTCCATGGCGTCCGGACCGCCCTTCAACTTGTCGCGGTGCGACTCAATCGCGTCAACTGTGGACGCAGCATTGGGCAGCAAAGGAAGGCTGAGAACTTCGTGGACGACAAACTCCGCCCCTGACGTGTTGATGCCTTTGAATGCGGCAATCTGGCCGGGGAAAAACTGGTAGCCCGGCAGCTTCTTCAAGTTCAGGGGTATTCTTCGGCCACCACCTGTTCTCCGCGACGTCTCCAACACGAGTGAGGCGGCATTCAGCTTGCCTTCTGACGAATCCGAGGCTATCCTGCCCACGGCGTAGATCTCGGTGGTGCTCTGGCTCGCGGCGCTGCCAAAGGCAGCATCGTCAAGCTTGTAGTGGTCTTTTACCAGGGTCAGGAACTCATCTATCCTGTCGTCCAGGATCTCTGATGCCTCTGACGCCTTCATGGCCAACGGCTTGTAGCCAAGCTTCTTCTGGTCCGATGCGGCAGTGAGCTTGACTCGAGACTCTCCGTACGGCGCAATTGGCGGCTGCAGAGCGCCGAGGTGGTCGTTGAGAACTTCAATCACCTCCCCAGGGTTCTGCCTCTCGTTGAACGATGTCAACCTGGTACTAGATCAATATACTGCTACTAGTCCCTATTAGATGAGAATACTTACGTTAAGGAGGTCATGTCATTCAAATGCCGGTCCACAGTGTTCGGTGTCTTGACATCGGGTGAGCTGCTCGGTAAGCCTCCCTTGACTCTCGACACAGAGGGTGTCTCGAATTTCCTCTTTGGCGCCGAACTCCTGTTCAGCTTTGAGGATCCGGGAGTGGACATGCCTTCCAATCTGGAGGATGTCAATAAATACAAGATTTCACCCCCTTGACCAACACGGCGACTCACATGCCAAACACATCACTGCTCGAGCTTGCACCCTTGCCCGTGGTCCTCGGCGCAGCACCGCTTCGCTTCTCCGACTTGATGACGTGCGCCTGCTGGTTGCGGTTCTCCCTCTCGAGCGAATCCTGGATATCTCGCTTCAGGTTGCGGAGAGTCTCGACCGAGAGCGTCATCTCGTCCATGTCCATCTTGATGCAGTAGCTCTCCCACTTGAAGAATAGGTCCTGGACTGACAGGGAGTGCATGCGCATGATGGACTGCAGCTCGGCCAGCATGTCCGGCTCGAGGGGCTTGCCGCCCAGGCCGAAGCGCTCATTGAGCTCGTGCACATCCGAGTCGGCCATTTTGGTTATGCGGCTTGTATGTCCGTCTGTCTGTCTCTCCCCGCGGTCCCCGGGTTATCTGTGTGGTCCAAGAGCCTGGGCGATGGGTCGTTACGTGGGAGGAGGGGCGCCGACGTTCAAGATTCTCTGCAGGAGAGACCGGGAGCAAGCGAGACGCGACGGAGACGCGTTTTTGGTGTAAAGTGGTTTACGGTGGTGGGGTCCAGTGGTCGTCCAGTGGCCGCCCCGTCAACCGGGCACCCGCCTTGCCGCCCAGGCCAGGGCACGTCTTCTGGGTCCAACGCCCTCCTCACTGCTGTAGGGGCATGCCGTAGGGGCGGGTTGGCGGGGACTCCAAAGGGGTTTAGGACCCGAGGATTTATGCGGTTAGCCTCACTCTGCAGCACCGCCGTTAGCGGCCTCTGCCCCTGCCACCTGCTCGCTGGACATCCCAAGTTGCCGGCTCAACAAATTATTGAAATCTGCAATTTTCCAAAGGACGCCGTCTCACGGTTCCTTATCTTGCTCGTCAGACAATCTCAAGAACTGCTCTCCGTCCTCTCTTCTTGACCTCGCCAGCTTGCTTGCCGGAATTGGATTTGTTGCTGGCCTGATACTCTTGATTTCTCTCAGACCGACACTTTCGTCATGGCGGACCAAACAAATGCAGGGGGGCCTCAAAAGACCCCGATTCTGGCTCCCGCAGCGCACTGCAAGGCGCCGGAAAAGCCCATTCTCACGGCCGAGCAGCAGGCCAAATATGAGTGGCTCCTAGAGAAAGCAAAGACCTGGACAGAAGTCCCCTCAACACAGGGCAAGGGCGGTCCTCTCACCGACAGTGAGAAATTATGGCTCACGCGCGAGTGTCTCCTGAGATACCTCAGGGCCGTCAAGTGGAAGCAGGAGGAGGCCGAGAAGCGAATCCTGGAGACTCTGACCTGGCGGAGAGAATACGGCGTCGAGGACCTCACCGCTGAGCACATCTCGCCCGAGAACGAGACGGGCAAGCAGATCATTCTGGGTTTTGATAAGCAGGGCCGTCCTTGTCAGTACCTGAACCCCGGGCGCCAGAACACAGAGGTCTCGCCCCGACAGGTCCAACATCTGGTCTACATGGTCGAGCGGGTGATCGAGCTCATGCCGGCACAGCAGGAGACGCTGAGTCTGCTTATCAACTTCAAGTCTGGCAAGACCAGGACCAACACTGCTCCCGGCATTGGCCAGGGCCGCGAGGTTCTCAACATTTTGCAGACTCACTACCCGGAGAGGCTAGGTCGAGCATTGATCATCAATGGTAAGATTGCCCCGGAAAATATGTGCGTGACATGACCTAGACTGACCGGCCTAGTCCCCTGGGTTGTCTGGGGATTTTTCAAGCTGATCACGCCTTTCATCGACCCCTTGACCCGTGAGAAGCTCAAGTTCAACGAGGACATGTCGCAGTACGTCCCGAAGGAGCAGCTGTGGACGGAATTCATGGGCGACCTAAACTTTGAGTATGACCACGCAACCTACTGGCCGGCCCTGACCAAGCTCTGCGCGGAGCGCCGTGAGGCCAAGAGGCAGAGATGGGAAGCTGGAGGCAAGCACATTGGCGAGTTGGAGGATTACCTGACCGGCATCTCTCCCAACGGAGTCGCACCGCGGCCGGAGGCGCCCAGTGAAGACCCGGAGGCAGAGGGTGCGGCGACGCCAGACACAGAGGTCGACCCCAAGGAGCTGGCCGAGAAGCTGCACGCCGTCAAGATCGCAGAGGAGAAGCCGGCCGTCGTCGACGCTCCGATCCCGTCCGTGCCGGCTTCGCCAGAGCCGACCAGGGCTTGAGCATTTTTCGTAATATAGAGGTTTGGGATAGAGGGAGAGCAATAGTAATCGCTTGTTTGGAACTAAGACATAGAGAAGCGGCAGGCTATAATTTCAGAATAAAGCTTATAACACGGCCCTGGAGTATTTCGGGGGGAGCTGCACATAGAAAGACAGCTGGGCCGAGTTGAGGTTGGCAAAAACACAAAGAATAAGACCTATCAATCGGGCCATGGCAAGTGAATTCAGAAGCATGTTATGTGTGCTAAAAGCGGCGGGGGAATGGATTGCCACTGAAGAAAGATATCGAACCGACCCTTTGGCAATGTTGGGTATAAGTTAGCACTTAAGCACACGCAAAACAATAACTCCCGTCAAACTCCATTTTGTGAAGTATGTTCAGGTACCGGTACTTAGAGCCCCCAGCATCCCGCATTCCACCATCCGCAATCCCAGGGGGTGGCCCCACTTGAACAGCGCAGCTCCGACGTCAATCCGCTCCCCTAATTCAGCCTTGCGCCCATCAAAGTAACAACACTCTCCGCCGAGTCCTGTACCGATAGATGTAGCTCCCGTCGACTTCGCCAAGTCGATATCACCACCACCGCTGCCCTCGCCGCCGGCAGATCAACGTCAACCCCCTAACCCCCCCGAACCGATACAGAACTCCAAAGACTTCTTGGCCCAGGAGGGGGCGAACAGCCACACAGAGAAGCAGACACAATGTCGAATCTCCAGCCCACGAAGGGCTCGGCGAAGGAGGCCGCGGGCCTGCGATACCCTACAAACGGCAAGACCATCTACCACCGGCCGCTGAACCGCACCAAGACGGCCGAGCTGAGCGGCGCCAGCTTCGCCTACCTGTTTTCCGAGATGGTCAACTACGCCTCCAAGAAGATTGTCAGCATCCAGGACCTGGAAAAGCGGTATGTGTTTCTTGTCGGTTCTATCTACGTGTATATACACACTATATACAAATGAAACCCAGCCCGTATACAGAAGCTGACCCGTCGTCTTCCCCGTCCCTCCAGCCTCAACACGGCCGGCCACCCGCTGGGCCTCAAGCTGCTGGACCTGCTGCTGTACCGGGAGCCGGCGCGGACGCAGACGCGGCCGCTGACCATCATCCAGCTGCTGCACTTCATCAAGCTGACGCTGTGGGGCCACCTGTTCGGGCGGGCGGCCGACGGGCTGGAGAAGTCGTCGGACCCGGCCACGCCCGACGAGTACATGATCATCGACAACGAGCCGCTCGTCAACCGCTACGTCTCGGTGCCCCGCAACATGGACCAGCTCAACTGCGCCGCCTTCGTCGCCGGCGTCGTCGAGGGCGTCTGCGACGGCGCCGGCTTCCCCGCCCGCGTCACCGCCCACACCGTCCGCCAGCCCGGCGAGGAGGAGGGCAAGGAGATGTGGCCCGGCCGCACCGTCTTCCTGCTCAAGTTCGCCCCCGAGGTCATGGAGCGCGAGGGCTTCTTGGGCAAGGGCTGAGCAGGGGGTTAGGGAGTGCAAGTTTTTATCTTGGTTTCGTACAGCGTGAAGCAAATGAGAGTGCGAGGACGGAGGGGCGACACCCGGATGACCCCAGACCATCCCCAGATTTGTTGGCGGGGGAAATATACCCAGAATATCGTCAATCATGGCGAGGACACATGAGCTCAAGGTCAAGGATATGATGGGAAGGTGGCTATCGCTATGGACTAACGGTGTCCATGTTTGGTGGTACCATTGATTTCCGTCCACCAGGCCGCTTGATGGTGGGCAATCTGCATGTCCATCTGCGTGCCCTTGGGGCAGTCCTAGCTAAAGTTGCCTCATATCTTACTCCGAGCTCAGCCCCTGTCGCATCTAATTGCGATATTGAACAGCTTGATAGTTCCAAACCTACTGAGAACCAGACTCGTACCCTTCTGTCCCGGCGCCTCGACATATGTGAATGTAGGGTCCGCTGCAACCCCGTATGGGATGCGCTCCATGACTCTGGCAAGCCGCTGCCCTGACCATCTCATGGCAATAATTGCTGTTCCACAGCGCTTGACATCTCGGTCGGTCTCTACACATTCGCGGCGACCGCGGGCCTGCCATCGGCGTAGACTATCACTCGGCGCAAAACCAAGCCGCCAACGTATACCACCACGAAAGTTCCTCTGACACATGACAAATCCCATCTCCGTGGCCTCATCACCTCGGCAATCCGCGTCCCAACCCAGCCTTAGCCGCCAAGCCCCCCGCGCCCGACGCGGCCCCGTTCCTGGCCGAGGCGGCGGCCACCGAGGAGGACGAGGGCCCGCGGGCCATGAGGGCGGCGAGGCCGAGGTCGCGCCAGACGGGGTCGCGGGCGCCGGCGGCGCCGCGGCCCGTGGCCTTCTGGATGCCGAAGGCGGCGTGCTGGTCGGGCACGACGTCGTCCTCGTCCTCGGGGTTGAGGGGCTGGTGGTGCGGCGGCACGTAGACGTCGTCGTCGGGCAGCCGCGCCGCCGGCTGGCAGAAGTCCTCGAACAGGTCCGCGTGCCGCGCCGCGCCCAGGTGCACGTACGTGAAGGACGCGTCCTTGTTCTGCTGGGGGTGTCAGCTGGAGCAAATGGGGGAGGGAAAGGGAGAGGGAGAGGGAGAGGGGAGGAGGCGGGCTGGGGGACTTGCCATTTTCTTGCTTGACGGCAACTCAGGTACGATATGTGATGGGAGATTTAGCTTTCCGGTATGGCGGCGATCTGTGCTGCTTGTTGTCCGTGCTTTGTGGACTGCAGAGTCACGTTGCTCCTTGCGTATGCCGTCTATTATTGGAAGTTGTATGGATATAATGTTTGTCAGTTCGACGACGCGGCTGGCTGGCTCGCTGGCTGTCTGGCTAGCTTGAAGTGGGATGAGTGGGGTCGAAGTGCAGGTACTTTGCGGTACTTGACGCACAGACCCCTGGCTATAGGCAAAGGCAAGTGCAGGTGTCTTGAGTACCAAGTTAGGGAGAGACACTACAGATTGGCGATTTTTACCTACAGGGTATTATTATGCGTCTTGTCATTACTGTACTCAGCTCGGGAATAGTTTACTTATTTTACTCCTGGAGGATCATCGGCCTTGAAAAGATAAGGCCAGGTTCAAATCACACTCTCAACCACCAACTGGATATAGACAGCAAAGGTAGAGCAGATATGTGGTAGGATATATGCATTCATCGTATCAATGCTGTTTGTCTCTCATATAGGAGGCATCTTCCTGCTCTTTCTTCAAAGCAACCTCCCCTCTCCAGTAGCAGTTGCGACAGGAGTCAACAGGCCCGTGGGTTCTGTTCGAATCTCCTAGGTATCATTTCAATAGAGCAGTTGGCCAATCCCTTCGCTTCCCGTTCCGTTAGCCCTCTAAACCAAATAGCGACAGGTAATCAGATGGAAACCATCGTGTTTCCCATTTCCCAATGTCCGTAAACGCCGTTGCCCCATATGTTTTGACAAATGGACGAATGCACCCCGCTGCCTCCATGATTGAGCATAGTGCTCACACGTTGCCGTCGTACACACCCGAGCTCCTGCCCGTGCCCATGTTGCGCGCTTCTAATCATCGCGCCGCCTTCCTGTCGTGATATCGCTGCGGCTCCTATCCCGTCCAGCTCCCATACGCACAGCATCGCTATAGCTTGGAATCGGGGGTTGGTTCGAGGGCCTCAGGGTGGCGGCTGACACCCCGCGACTTCGTGGGCCGCGGATCAAAGGCACCCTCTCGCTCTCCGAGCTGCTCCGCGACTCCTCCCCATCTGACGACTCGGGGCTGGTATATTCCGGAGGCGGATGGGCGGCTTCGTGGAGTCCTAAACCGACCACATCCACCACGTGATCGCCGGAAGATCCGGCGGCATGGTGACTAGCTTCGCCCGCCTCATCGGACGGAACCAACTGAGCAAGCGAGATGTCGGTAGGGCTTCGCTGCGGCCCAGGACTTGTCGGCGGAAGTACTCTGTAGTTGCCGCTTCTCGTCCTTGTGTGTCCAACGTCCAAGGGGGAGCCACGGTTGTACGTCTGAACCGAGTGGGAATAGCTGTGGCCCCTAGCTGGCGACCCGGAGTACTCGTCTTTCCGCCGCCCCGTCTCGAGCAAGATGCTGCCTTGCTCGCTACCGTATGGTGGCGGGGGAGCTAGGCTGCCCGTCATGGGGGCCAGACCCCATTTCTTGACGTTGGCCTCGATAAAGACGAATCCAGCTTGACCAAAGTTCACATGCACGATGCAGGGGCCATTGGCACCCACTGATGGGAAGAAGTTTGGTGTCTTGTATCCGTGTGCAACATCCTCCAGCTTCTTGCCGTTACGGGTGAAGAAGATGGTCCCCGTTCGAGGTCGGTAACCAACTCCGATAACATCACCCTGCACGTATGCCGGGCCATACGAGGTAGGGTTGAAAGGCTGATTTAGGCGTCGATGACCGGTTGACGTGTACGCGGCTGAGTACTTGTGGAATCCTACTTGCGAGGTTAGGTCAAACTACAAAAACGAGCAGATCCGGACTGGATCCCCATAACATACCAGGCATCCTGAACAGAGGATACGGTTTCGTGGCCATGCCGATGCTCAACAGCGTGTTGTCGGCCTTCTCGTAGATCTTTGCCTCCCAGTAGTAGACCTCATTTTGCTTGGGTACTGGCAGGTTGCTCATGACGGTGCACTCGGAGTCGAAGAACTCGATCTCGGTCCGGCCTTCAACGAAGCAGTTGGCGATCTCAAGTTCCGGTTCGAACTCCCAGGCCGAAACACCCTTCTCCTGGATGGCTAGGTATTGTGAGAGGGAGATTTCGGTTTGTACCGACTCTGGCGGGTTTCCTTGAATGAATGCTGTGTCGCGGCCTAGTCAGCGCCAGCGCCGAGATGGATGACGGTCCCAAAGACCGGGAAGCGATGCATCCTTACCTTTTGCTCTCAAGTATTCCGTCCTCTGCAGATCGTCCATCGTCTCCAGCGCCTCAGCCTCCTCCCGGGCAAATGCTTGCTCGTCGTCATATTCGCCAGGTCGCCCGATACGGTCGAGGAAGATGCGGCCCGAGTTTGTGTAGCGGAAGAAGTAGACGATAAGGAAGACCAGAGCTATCAAAATGGCGGAGCCAAACGACGAGAGCAGGCCGATAATGACGCCGTTCATGGTGGGCGACTCGAGCCTTAACATGCTGGCCGCAGGATTGTGTGTGTTGCTCGGTCGCTCGTCGCCAGGCGAGGACGGCGATGCGTGGCGATACCGTTCGATAGTGGGTGCCGTCACCGTCTGGGATCGTCGGTCATTCGGCTCGCGGGTGCGGTCGAGGATCCAAGGGCCCCGAATGCGTCTCTGGGTGGGAAGAACAACAAGCGGGGAACGGGGAAAGAAAGAAAATGGGGGGTATCGCCAAAAAAGAGAAGGTATGAGGGTCGACCTCGTTCGCAAATCAAAGGGGGGCGGAAGGGAAAAACGGTTGTTGTTGGAACAGATTGGGGGGACTTGATAGATTGGAATGAGAAGACAGATCGGAAAGGCCGGTGAGCAGAGCACCTGAGGCGGGATAATTGGAGTCGGTCGGCCGTCCTGGACTGTAGGGACGACCGTAGGGACTGGCCTTGGGGCGGGCCTTGGCTGAGAGGGTACCTAGTTAGGTACCTAGTTAGGTGCCCAGTTAGGTATGGAGAATGGGGGTAGCGGCAGCGGATCTGCCTGCAGCTGCTGCTCAGGTGGGTTCGAGGCGGTTTGGCTGGGCCCTCTGGCTTGAAGTGACGAACTTATCGGGTACCCAGCTCGAAGGAAGTACCATAGGCTGGCGGCGCTGGTCGTGTGCTGTGCTGGTGCTGGTGCTGGATTCCGTTTTGACACACTTCCACGGGGCTAGAACTCCACGCCGACGCAGCAAACCCAAACCCAGAAACCTTGGCGGGTGCAGCGCAAGTGCTAGTTCGCTACCGAATGAGGGCCGCTCGTCCGCCCGAGTCTAAAGGGACGGCGGACAATCAATCTCGTCTGAGCGCCCTGAAGAGTCCTACGGGGGCTGGAGACGTCCGTCTGATACAATGATGAAAAGGCCAAGCGATACACTCGCGTCCCCGGGCAGCCGGAGTTGCTATGGGTGAAAGCGGAAAACAATAAAACGGGGGGAAAAGAAAAGGCAGCGATGCCAGCAACAAACAAGCCAAAGGGCAGGAGCGGGACAGATGACGACGTTGGTTCCCAGAAGAGGAATAGAGAGAAGAAGCGTGGGAAGATGGGAGGGAATGCGATCCGGTCCCATTGGCGACGGGTGGGGAGGGGGACGGGATGCCCTGGCTAACAGATTGACAGAGACTGCGCCAGCGGTGCCCCCAGAGTGACAGAGTGCCCCAAGAGTGGCAGGGTGCTGGGTGCAGTGTGGGTTCAGACGCTGGGCAGACACATGCAAAGCGCCAACGCCACTCGCATCAGATCTGATCACCCCAAGCAAGGCCAAGCGCATCACCTGTTAGCGTTTTGGGCTCGCATGCGACGCTCTCCTCTCGACTTATTGCATGTCATGCGGCCGGGATGGAGGGGGGAACGACGACGGCGGACCACGCCAACGCCAAAGACGGCCGCGGTGGTGCAGGGCTGAAGCCGCTGTGCTCTGTATTGCCTGCCTGCCTGCCAGCCAGCCCTGACTACCAGGTTAACAACAAGGCACAGCGACACGACGCTGCTTAACTCCGAGGGAGCAGATCTCACCAAAACGACCCTGGAATTGAAGCCGTCAATCTCCCAGGGAACCCCTCAGCCCTGCTGCTTGCCATGGCGATGATCTCATACCCTCTTTTACCCTCGATTGCATTATAGAGCATCATGCCTATGCTGATATGTCCAACCCGCCGTCATTCTTCAACTTCTCAAGGCAAAGCCTTTTCCGGACGTGGGAATAAGAAAAAAGAAAGAAAAAAAAAAGGAACCAAAGAGAGCTTTCGCGTCGTCAGATTCAACGCGAATTCAACGCGCAGGAAGAGCCTGCGCCTGATGAAACATTCGGGGGGGTTCTCTCTCTCTCTTCTCGCCATTGCGTTTATGCGACACCTCTCTTCAGCCCCTCCCATTCGGCAATCTGCGCATGCTCGTTTCCTCTGGCGGGTTTCAGGGACGCTTGTTCCTGTCTCGGGTGCTAATTTACTTCTTCTTCTCCCAGGGTTCGCCCATCCCCCCAATTGGGCACAAGCGGACTGCGTAAGTAAACAAGACACAGGACCAGCGGTACGTGCTATTTCGGGTGCTTAATATGGAGTGCAACGTCGCGCTGCTTACTCTGATGCACAGCATCGGAAGCTGACAGGTCCACAGAGTAGATCAGGCCCCGTTCAGCTAGGTGCGTACAGCACGCGAGCTCTGCGCTTGGAATGGGGTGGAGGATTCGGCATAGCCCGACGAGCCTCAGATCCTAGTGTCATGGTAAGCGCAATGCTACTTCTCAGCTGCCAGCTGCGCCCTTTGCCAATGAGTGGCTTGAGGAGTGTTCCTTTGCTTGCGAGGCTAATCATAAATCGCCTTTGTATCAAGAGCCCCATGCACATTTGCAATGTTCGTATCTCATCACTGACCAGAAAATCAAGAACACAAGCTGCAGCAGGATGATCATATAGCAACGGCAGGCTTTCTTAAAGAATATTTGGTTAAATGCGACGCTATCGCAATGCATGACTGGAGCTTTCGCCTTCGAAGCTATAGATGTAAAGCTATGAACGCCTGCGACTTCAGGGGTATCTGAGCAACCGTTTTCTCCGAGTAGATACGAAGTACACAACCCCACCTGGAAACCTAGTGGTGATCTCGTTATGAACTCCCAAGGAAAAACACAATAGGACAAGCCTCTATGGCCACGATGTTCAACACGTCTCGGTTACCCAATCCTGGCTATTAGACTGCTGCTAGGACCAGGCTCAACCACATTCGTGGAGAATCAGCCGCGAGCAGGGTTCTTCTTCACGCTGTTAACGCGGGCTCCTGCTGCGTCTTCGGCTTCGGTCCCGCCTGTCGCGTCTCGAGTCGATACTACGCTCACGCCGGCTCCTCCTATCCCTGTCACGGTCCCTCTCCCGGTCACGGCTCCTGCTCCTCTCGCGCTCGTTGCGACGACGACTGCGGCTTCGGGTCCTGCTACGGCGTCGTTCGCGGCGGTCATCCCTGTCGCGGTCTTTGTCCCGATCCCGACGATCATCCCTTGGATCTCGTTCGCGGACCCGGCTTTCGCGAGCCCGCTCCCGTTCGCGCTCCGGCTCCTTGTCGCGATCTCGAGGCCTGTCCCTCTCCTCGTTGGGTCGATAACGGTCAATGTCATCCCCTACACGGGGCCCATTGCGCTTTGCCTCAGGAGAGCGGTCACCTGAGCTGCGGCGGTCGTCAAACCCAGGGACGGGCAGGCCCTTCTGGCGGGCTTCACGCTGAGCGGCTAAATAGGCCTTGGCTTCTTGCTCGCGTTTCTTGATCTCACCCTGCTTCCAGGCCTCGACGTCGGGCTGGGACTCATGTTTCGTCGCCGTGGCAGGGCGAGAGCGTGACCTGCTCCTGTTGTCGCGGGGACGTTCTGCGCGAGCTGGCGACTTTTCGCGTACCTTGTCCCTGCTCCGTGCGCGTCGCGTAGATCGACTGCGCTCGCGACGGTCCAGACGCAGACGAGAGCGACTCCTGTCTCTCCTGTCTGCACGAGGACGAGGAGAACGGGATCGCTCGCGCCGGTCTGGCTCTCGCCTGGCACGGTCATCTCGGCCCCGTGATCTGCTCCGATCCCTGCGCTCTGGCTTGTATCTGTCATGGGAACGACTTCGGGCTCTCCTTTCTCGTGAGCGACTTCTATCCCTCCTGTCCCTGGACCGGCTCCTCTCTCTTCTGTCGTGGTCTCTTACTTCGCCTGGACGATAGTTGTTTTCGTAGGGGAACCGCCGAGGTGGAGAGCGGCTGCGCTCTCTGCGAGTTCTGGATCCACTCCTCGGTCGTCGGTCCCTGGTGCGAGAAAGACTACGGTCTCTAGCTCGATCGCGGTCACGATCCCGCTCCCTGTCTCTACGTTCAGCACCCCGAGATCGCGAGCGCTCACGTACACCGCGAGTGGACACTGCCACACTGCCTCTTCGTTCATCTCGCGACCTGACTTCCCGGGCAGCTCTCTGGTCTCTATCCCTGAGATCTCGATCGTCTCGGGGCAGCTTGGAATCTTTTGATTCTGCGGACTGTGCCGTCTCCTTCGTAGCCTGTCTGACATCCTTGGATTCTCCTGCGTCTTTGGGTTCTCTCGTCTCCTTGGCATCTCGAGCCGAATCCTTGGAGTCTATCTTGGCAAGCGTTGGCACCTTTTTTCCATCAACGACAGTCTTCGGTGAGTCCCGGCGGATTGGCTGGATGGCAGATGCTGGCTTGGTCTTCTTGGGAGGTGGTGCAAGTGCTTCGTCGATTTCGATCTCTGGCTGTTTCTCCGCGTTTCGTTTGCTCTCACGCAGTAAATCCGCCAAGGCGTCCTGCTCCAGCCGTTCCAGTTCCTCCTTCGACAGTTTCTTCTTGACATCTTCGGGTTTGTGGCGCTCTCTCTCCTCCCTGGGCGTGCGTTCCCGCCTGCGCCTGTCCCGACTATCGCGCCGGCGACTGCGACTACGATCACGGTCTCTGTCACGGCGGCGAGACCTGTCTCTGTCTCGATCTCGATCTCTATCCCTGTCGCGAGACCTGGATCTCGGGCGGTCTTGAAGTCTCCTATCTCTGGACCGCCTTCGAGCCTCGCGTTCCTTTTCTCGTTCCTCGCGCTCCTTCTCTCGCGCAGCACGGCGCTCGTCTCGCTCCTTTTGCCGTAGCTTCTCGCGCTCTGCTTCTTTTGCTTCTCTTTCACGACGACGAGCGTCCCTCTCTTCCTGGCGCAGAGCCTCGGCCTTCTCAGCCTCACGCTCGCGCTGTCTCCTCTCCTCAAGTTCGATCTTGCGCTTCTCCTCTTCTATCTGCTCCTCTTTCTCCCGTAGGACACGCCGTATGCGTTCGCGCTCTTGCAGGCGGGCTGCAGTCTCAACAGCATAGTCCAGGTCGGTCTTGGAACCCCTTGTGTGCTCTTCCAATGCTGCCTCCTCGCCAATATCGGTCTTTCGTAGCTCGCGTATGCGATCCTCAATGGCTTGCACGTCGATGAGCTGGTCAATGACCTCCTCGGCCGTTTGGTAGACGCCGGAGCGATCTAGGGCACCGTCGATGAGAGCAGCGGCCTTTCTGCGGTCCAGCGTCAAGAGCTGCGCAGGGTTGCGCTCCAGCTCCTTCTCGGCGACTTCGAGGATAGACTTGGTCACTTGATTCTCGTAGTCCTGTAGAAGATTTGTTAGAATAGCCGCCCTGCTTGTCTAGCAAGCCGCAAGTCGAAGCAAATAAAACCACGTACACTAGCTTCGAACTTGTCCCAAACCTGCTTCCTGATGGCATCGTAGCCTCCTTGTTTCTTGAAGCTATGAGCCAGCCCCTCGATGGCGGAGCGCGTCGCTGTGGTCAGAGGCAGGTCCGAGGCCTTGAACTTGCGAACGACAGGGGCGGAGGCTGGGGCCGCGGGTGTTTGTTCGGCAGAGCTCGCCATCTTGAGTGCAGTTGCTGATGCCATCCTGTTGGACTTTCTGGTCTCAAGCACTCGGGATCCCGGGGGCCAAAGGCTGCCGCAAGGACGAGGCCTTGATAATCAGGTTTCGCCTCAAGGAAAGACCTAGGAACGAGAGTTGGATTCAAGCGGAGCCGCGAACCGCCTGCATTATCGTTGACCGGTCCAACAAAATAAATAGCCAATCCCCTTCGTGTTCATGTGCCGAATGTTTCTTTTCGTTCGTGTCGAGTCACAACAGAGACCATCCAAGATGAACAAATCTCGGTCAGGTCCGCTGAAGAGCACGCCACCGCGCGGCTGCGGAATGATCGCAGCTGGCGCAAACCTCAAATGCAGGTAATTGAAAGGTGGTCCCGAGTAAAAAATGTCGGCAAATCCAGAGGGAAAATCGAGCAGATACCAGGGATCACCAGACGACGACCGCGACGACTGAATGGCCGAGGACTGACTTGCAAGACAGAGGTGGCTTGACCCGGACTGACTTTCCATCTAGGAAATCAAGTCGCATTTTCCAGGAGCACGTCCTCTAGTCCTAGGCGCGACATGGCCCGTGCCCACGCTACGCCCTTCCCCCTGCCGGGGGCTTGGGGGGGCCTTTCGGTGGCCCCCACCCCAGCCAACAGCGGCCTGGCTCGCACCTCTTTAGGCCCTTTTCTCCCAGTCCCTCAGGTTCAGGTGGCCAGCAGCCAACAGGCCCGGCGGCCAGGCAAAACTCCGGCCAATAAACGAAGCTTCAATTCCAACGTCAGTCGAGTTGCTCTTCCGCCCGCCAGACAGCTTGCTCCCGGGAGCTCTGAGACGACCAGGTCCCAATTCACCACCACCACAGCCGATCACGAGCCCCCGTGCCACTCATTCGTTGCCCGAGGTCACGCTTCGGTCTCGAGAGACAAAGAACCCGCCACTTCTGAATTGAGCCCGCCCAGCCCGTCGCGGCCCCGACACACATCCCCACTCCCGTCACCATGGTTTCCAGATTAGTCTTCTGGGGAGGCTTCGGTATGCTTCCCTTCCCACGTAGACGCGCTCCAATTGCGCCCCGCTGTTCCCTTCTCCTAGGCGAATCCATCCCGCTGACCAGAAACCTCCCTTCCCACAGGCGTCGCCGTCCGCGTCTGGCAGCTCGGCCTCGAGATGCGCCCCTTCTTCAACCGCGGCTCGCTCTGGGCCTACCCCGTCTTCGCCGGCGTCGGCGCCAGCTTCGGCTACTGGCTGCAGGGCGTCGACGACAGGCAGACGGCCATGCTGGAGGACCGGAAATCCGCCATCCTCGAGAAGCGCGCGCGCAGGGCCGCCAGGGACGCCGACCAGGTCGCTGCCGACCACGCATGATCCCGCTCTCGCTAAAGCCCCCACTGATTTTTCCATCGACTCAATGTCCAAAGAACTGTTTTTTTATATCTGCTACCTGAAAGAGCGCGTGGAAGACGAGGCGACGGAGGGCGACTACGCGGCCGCTCAGGAGACGAGAGGCCGGGCGTGTACATATTCGAACGGAGGGACCGGACGGCATAGATTCAAGGGCAAAGAGCCCAGAGCCGTGGACGCCAGTCCGAGGACTTTCCGGCCGCAGCGGCTACCCAAAAAAATGAAGAGAACATTACAAGTTATGGGCAGCTCCTCCCCTCGAAAGGAGCACCTGTTTTGCTACACTGACATGTGCCTTGTTTGGCGTTCTTTTCTTTTTTCTTCCTTTTTTTCCCTGTCCCATATGCCAGATTACGTCTTCGGACGTATATCGACATTTGCTGTCTCTTTCCCCATAGACGCTGATGTTTTCGCACTGGCAAAGAGCGAATCTTTTTTCGACCCGTTGCTGGGCGCCCGTATCCTAGAGGTCGTTTTGTACCCCAATGAGGATCCGGGAATCAGTAGAGGTTACATTTCGCACATATTCCATCATATTTTGTAGACGTCCCCAAACAAGAGGTCAGTGTGGTGAAATGTCGTGTACGATGAGTGACCATCAATGGTCTTACCTTATAAGAACGACACTTCGTTTGGTGACTTACCGTTAAGTAACGACCAAACGTCCAGAGGCCGTGGGACAGAGACGTTGTCAGCGTCTCATTTATTGTGACCACTGCACGCACAGGGATCAAGAGCGCTTTGAGCACTCTACAGACATCAGAGGGTGTTTACTTCCCACCGGCCTGAGATTGATCAAGTGAAATAACACCTTCACAAGAATGTACAGTTTACGTATAGCAACGTTTCTTACTGGCTATGATTTCTTGATGTATCTAGATCGTCTACGCACGTCAAATCAACGTCGGGAAGACCATTAAAAGTGGATATTCCACCGATTTTGCCTGTTGAATGAACCAACATCATGACTGCGTCCATTCCTCTTCACTCTAGAGCCTCCCTGGCATGGACCCAGACGTTGCGTACGGTTTCAGCGCCATGAGCTTCGTGACCTTGAATACTGGTCCCCGGACCTCTAGCACGAAGTGATCGTCCAACCGGCGCTCGATCTTGACCGCGATCTGGATCTTTTTAGGGTCCGCTTCCTAGTTGAACTCCTCAAGCTTCCTCAGCAGATCGGGCGCAGATCTCGGCTGGACAGTTCCCAGCTCCGTGACGAGCAATTGCAGGTACTTGTCGGGGGTCGTGTCGAACAGGAGCCTGAACGCCCCGGCCTGGCCTCGCTCCGGGTCGATCTCGTTGTATGTCAACGAGTCTGTCGATACCCTCTCCGTAATGTTGATGGTCTCGCACAGGACAACGACCTGCTTGTGAAGCTCGTTGGCAGCCAGCGCAACGTCACATGTGCCCGCTCGTGCGTACAGCGACCCGTTGCTGAACATGGCTTCGGCGGATACGAGAACCTTCGTCGTTCGTCTCATGTGGTTTGTCAAACCTCCAAAGTCGCCGCAGTAGGACACTTGAATGCCTTCAGCAGACAAGACCTTGGCAAGCTGCTGCCCCTGTCGCTCGTAGGGATCATCGACCACAAACACGGAGAACTTGGTCCCTGCCGCTTGCGCGAGAAGAATCGTCCTCTCCACAATGCTGCTCCTTCCGTAGGTGAGAATAACTTCCCCATCCCGGATGAGCTTCGAGCCGGCCTCTGTGATAACCTCGTCCGCAACCGTGATCCGTTCTGCGACGAAGGTATCAATCGCAAGGCAAAGGTCCCGTTTCGCGTCCTCCTCAGAGGCATCCATGTCAATCTTGCTGACCTGTAATTTGAGCCACCTGATAGCGTTTCCCATGGAAAAGCACATGGGTCTGCAGGCGGTCAGGTACTCGATCTGCGGGTTCAGTACATGGGGTGTGAAATGGCGGGCCAAAGTGTGTCCCGGAGGTGTTGTGTACGATTGTATCACCTGCTGAAGATTAGTATGGCGTTGGACATGGAATCATGGTTTCTCATACCCTCTTGAATGCGAGAAGTGTGGCCTTGAGTCTGGCAATGCTCTCGTCGATCGAAAAGGTGGCCATCTGCTGGCCCAGGGCCAGTACCGACGGGTGCACGTCCTTGTCCGCCTGTGTCATCGGTATGCGCTTTGCCATTGAGAGGTGACTGAAGCACTCCGGGATCTGGACCTTCTGCTCGGTGATCACGGCGGACGGCACTGTCTTGGGGAGCAATGGCCGGCCTCCTTGCCCAGCAGCAGCGCCATCCTTGCCCTTCTTCCCCTTGACCTCGGAGGCGGCGGGGCCTAGTTGCTGGGGAGAGGACGAAACGGCAGCCTCGGCCTTTGACACCTCCTTGCGGTCCTTCACCTGTGCTCTCCGCGCTGCCTTGTCCGCCTTGGCCTTGGCCTTCAGCTCGGCCCCGGTGAGCTTCTTCTCGCCCGACTTCTCTGCGGGTTTGTCTTTCGCAGGCGCTGCATTCTTCTCTGAGGGCTGCTGCTGCGGTGTTTGCGGTGCAGGAGCAGGTGCGCCTTGGCCCTCGGCGGGCGCGCCGTTTGGTTGTTCGGGCATCAGTAGCAGTCGCAAGATTTGTTCGTCTCGGCTGGTCGATCGTGCAAAGCGCTGGTGGCAGGGAACTGATGCTCCAGAGACCAGGAAATCAGGTACGGATTGGCGTCGGGAATGCTGCAATATTCTTGTCACTGTCTAGCTGCTTCTTCGAATCTAGTGACTGGACTGGGAGTGGAGTGCAGTGCAGGTAAGCTGATGTTCGCGCAGGGTTGTGTACGATCGTGCCCATTGATTGAAGTTCGTAAAATGTGACTTTTGACTCACAACCACCCCACCACCGCCAACCCCCACCAGCGATCGCCGTCAGGGTACAAAGGTACTTGGGTCGAGTCTATTCTAAAACCCCGAGTTGCCTGCCTATGGAACAAACAGAACAATGGTAGAGATATGGTTTCATAGGCCCACAGCTCGATTGTTGCATCTTTTTGCCAATCTAATTTTTCGATCCCTCTTTTCTCCCTTTTCCAATTTGAATCAACCTGCATATTGATTTCGGGCTACACTGTGGCATCTCGCCCCAGCTCCGGCCTGCCAAAGTCACAATTGAGTACCCAACCAATTGATCGAAGAATTTCTAGATAGTATGATGATCATTTTCTAATCCCCATATTATGGAGGGTAGCGATCACGTTAAAATTTATGAGAGGAGATCATCTCTCCAGAAATACTCAATTTAAACACAGTACAGTAAGTGGAAGTAGTATATATGGTAGTTGGTGTAAGCCGACAAGCTGGGAGCGTACCAACCGAACACCACACCATGTTCCACAATGCAATTTATTTAAACCAAAGATGCTGCAAAATGTCAGTCACATTTGTTCTCTTTGCAGGAGCAAGATTCAGTATCCTCGATATGACTCTCTTGGCCTCTGGGTCAAAACGAGGAAGCAAAGTCTAGTCTTATACGTTAATTAGACTGGCTCTCAGGCTACCAGCCTCTACCTCGCCCTCAGCATCATCTTTCCCACTGTGATACTGCTGCCAAATTTCAGTTATGATCTCGGCGGACTCTTTGCCTAAGTACTTTGAAAGCCCCCCCCCCCCCCCCGGCTGGTGTCCCGAAGTAATGGAGCAAAACGCTCAATATCACGAGGTGGAGAGGCTCCAATCTTCTCCAGTTCATCAAAGCCTAGATGAATGGTTTCGGGTCCCGTTACGGTAAAAAAAAACACTTCCATAGTGGCGGTAAGAGACTACGGAACTGCTCGCATCGATAGGATGGCGATTTAGCAGAAGTCCGAAGGAGAACACCTCCGAATGCACGCTGATTCCCTTGCTCAGCTGATTTTCTGGACATTGCCATGACCAGTTTCCAAAAGTTCCATTCAGAATATAGATCCGCCAAGTCTACCTTGTCTATCCTTAGCTGATCTTTCTCTGCGTACGGACTCCAGTCCAGCATGACATTGTTGGCCCTTACATCCAACGGGTTGTGATTCGCATTGTACGGCATATATCAATTTAACTTTGACTCACCTTGATCAATCCAGTTGCCGTCGTGAAGTTTCTTGAGCCCTTCGCCAATCGCTCGTTTGATGAACTATCTGGAGTCTAAGATGATAGGGTGGTTACTCTTGATGAACCTCAGGTTAATTGTCTCCCATGCTTCAAAGACGAGGAGGACCCCGTCTTCACCATCGTCAATATGCGTCTGAATGACGCGGACGTTTCTAAATTGACTCCTCAACGCTTGGCAGTAGGCCTAGCAACGGGATTTGTGACAAAGAACCGGTCCTCAGATCTGGTGTTGACAGCGCCTTCCTGAGCCCCGGACTGTCGAACAGGTGGGGTTTGAGCACTTTCAAACTCAACACGGACTAGACGAGATGACTATTCTTCGAGTTCTTCAAGTTTTCCTGAACAACTGTTTTCTTCTCACACGTGCGGCCAGAGCGGCCGATCAGAGTGGAAATCAGCTTTGACAATCTTATACCGTTACACCTTGGCGGCCCAGAGGGCTTGAGCAGCATTCGATACAAGCATCGACGACTACACGAAGACGCGGGAAACATGCCGATGATCGGCTGAGCCAAGCCTATACAATGTCAGCACTTGGTATAGAGCTCAACAACGTGGAGCATCGCTCAGGTCCCGGCGCAACGCCCAGGGCCCCACTGTCAACGATTGACCCCCATCGACCCCAGACTGACCCCCATGATCCCCCCGGTCCCCGGGGGCACGTTCGACGAACGTCTGATAACCCCGCCTCCAACATGGAGAATCTCAACTGCTCCTCACCCAAGCTGCGAAGTCACGTCACCCCGGACGATTAGCCAGTGGATATTTAACTAGAAACTCCCCGTGTAGAACTAAACTCAGAACATGTGTAGTTAGACCTCCTCAGTGATCGTATGTTTCACGAGAGCATTTAAGTAAATTTCCAACCCACCAACCAACTGCATCACTCACTCTGCTTCCGTATCTTGTCACTCTGTATCAAATATCTCAGCCGTCCCTGCTAGCTGGACAAGATGTCGGCGAAACACTTCATCAATGATCCCACGCTCCTGGTGAACTCGGCCCTGGAGTCCATCACTTACACGAACCCATCCGTGGCCCTGGACTCCGAAAACAAGATCATCTACCGGCGGCCCCAGCATGGTGTCCCACCACAGGTGTCGATCATCAGCGGTGGTGGCAGCGGGCATGAGCCCAGCTTTAGCGCCATGGTCGGGAATGGCTTGCTGTCGGCCGCCGTGGCCGGGACCATCTTTGCCTCGCCCAGCGCCGAGCAGGTCCGCAAGGCCATCATGTCGAGGGTCGACACAGACAAGGGCGTCCTCGTAACTGTCATGAATTACACCGGAGACATCCTCAACTTCGGGATGGCCGTCGAGAAGGCCAAGGCGGCGGGCATGAACGTCGAGATGGTCGTCGTGGGGGATGACGTCGGCGTGGGCCGCGAGAAGGGCGGCAAGGTCGGCCGGCGAGGCATCGCTGGAACGGTCCTGGTGCACAAGATATCCGGGGCGCTGGCGGCCCAGGGGGCGAGTCTGGAGCAGGTCTACAAGGTCGCCAAGCTGACGGCCGACAACCTGGTGAGCGTCGGCGCCAGCCTGGAGCACGTCCATGTCCCTGGCAGAGCACTACCAGACCCCAACTCCAAGGAGAGCCTAGGGGCCAAGGAGGTCGAGGTGGGCATGGGCATTCATAACGAACCAGGCTCGGGTAGGGCAGAAGTTGAGTTACCCGAACTTGTCAGCAAGATGCTTTCGCAGCTGCTCGACCAGAACGACTCGGATCGAGCTTTTCTCAATGTCAACTCTAATGAGGTGGTGCTGCTGGTCAACAATTTGGGAGGCGTCAGCGTCCTCGAGCTGGGTGGCATCACGGCAGAGGTTGTCAAGCAACTAAGCAGATGGGGCATTCACCCCGTACGAATTCTAAGTGGAACATACATGACAAGTCTGAACGGGCTCGGCTTCAGCATTTCACTCCTAAATGTTGTGAACACCAACATCGGCGGCCCCAGCATGATTCAGTTGCTGGACGCCCCTTGTGAGGCGGCCGGTTGGACGGCCCCAATCCTGAAAGAGACCTGGGAGGCCAAGAACAAGGCGACGAGGGAGGACAACGCAGCATCTGGCCCAGAAGCAAAGCCAAGCGGGCTCAAGTACGACGCGGCAGAGGCTCAAGAAGCTCTGATCGCTGGCCTGGAGGCCGTAGTAACTGCCGAACCCGAGGTGACCAGGTACGATACCGTCGTAGGAGACGGCGATTGTGGCATCGGTCTGAAGAGAGGTGCTGAAGGTGAGAAATCTTTGTGCTAGAACAAGCGACACCTGGAAATAATACTGACAATGCCTAGGCATCCTGCAACACCTTGCGGCGAACCCTTTGTCAGGTGATGCCGTTGTTGATCTCGCCAAGATCGTGTCGGTAGTCGAGACGACCATGGACGGGACTTCCGGGGCGCTCTACGCCATCTTCCTCAACTCGCTGGTGCACTCGCTCAAGGGGTTGGCGGCCGGCGAGGTCACCGCCCAGACCTGGGCGGGTGCGCTGAAGCAGAGCTGCGAGGCTCTGTCCAGATACACGCCCGCGAGGCCGGGCGACCGGACCGTGGTGGACGCGCTGTACCCATTCGTAGACACGCTCGAGAAGGCGGGAAACCTGAAGGAGGCGGCCGAGGCGTCGAAGAAGGCGGCCGAGGGGACCAAGGGCATGAAAGCGAGCCTGGGCCGCACGGTCTACATCGGCGGGTCTGGGTATGAGGAGGTGCCCGATCCGGGGGCCTGGGGTCTTGCCTGCTTCTTCCTTGGGCTTGCTGACAGTTGGGAGGCTATCTGATACAGTCAAGGGGATTTCCGGGGGGCTAATAACACGTACTGTAGGATGCTGAAAAAGATAGCTTATGAGGACACATGTATTAGTGCGAGCTTTTGTGCTTAATCTCTTGCGTCAATCTCTCTGTGGACCGACTTTTCCTCAATAATGCAACCCCTCCCAACCCTCCTCCTCCTCCGCACACGTACGACGTTGATGTTTGTGAAGTGGGTGAATCGAGCGAACGCTCTTCCCCAAGTGCCATCTATCTGCGCCAAACCAAGTCCAGCCGCTTTTCAATGAAGTCTGATCCAGTCCGTTCGTGCTCGTGCTGCCGCATGCTGCTGTAGCTGTCGCAGCTGATTCTCGCCTTCCAAGGTCTAACATGCAGGATGGCCACACCATCGCGTGACGTATCGACCCCGATACGCGCTCCCGTTGCAACCTCCTTTCGTTCTTTCTTCTTCCCTCTTAACTCAAGAGGACCAGAATGACTGAGTCGCCACGGAGGAACATCTTGCTGATGAAGCGGTCCTTGTTGACAGGGCGGCCCTTCTTGCCGCCGGCCAGGCGCGGGGTCTCGGTCCACATCTCCTTGACGTTCTCCAGCACCATGTTGCAGTGGCGGTCGAAGGCCTTGACGCGGGCCAGCAGCTTGCGGTTGTTGCGGATCGAGATCAGCACCTGCGTGTGGGAGCGCACGGCGGTCTGCAGGATCGACAGCGGGCCGCTGTTGAACTCGTACTCTTCCAGCTGCTGGATCTCGTACTCGCTGCCATGGGGAGGCGCGTGTTAGTAAGGTTCGGACTGCTCTCGAGAGGGTCTCGAGAGGGTGGTGGCCCAGCGCGAGGGGAGGATGGGAGTGGGAGATGGTGCAGGTTGAAGGGAGGCACGTACGTCAACTCATTGCGAGGCTTGGTGAGGAGATCCCTGGCGTCATGTTAGCGTGTTTCGCGAGGGAGGCGTATCTGGAAGGACAGCCCAGGACTCACTGGATCTTTGCGTCGGCCATCTTGAATCGTGGTGCGGTGCAGAAGGCTTGACTGTCGCGGTCGTGGCACCAGGTTTCGCAAGGCTGAAATGTCTGGTGGTGAATCTGAGAAGAGCTGCAGTTCCTGGGGCGGGACCTGATTGGCTGCACCGCCCTGACACGGCGCTCGCAGTGGGCCCAGGCCCAGCCCAAAGCTCACGGGCAGCACGGGGCCACGGGGCCACGGGCCAGCGGGCTAACTCGACCTGAGTCCAGCGTGCAATGTTCCACCTGCGGCTTGACGCCGTCGGCGCTGCCAAAAATTTGGGGCCGAGGGAGCTCAGCCAAGTCGACTGGGAAAATCATAGCCGCGAATCGAGGTTCACCGGAAACTCTCACGTGCGATCCATACGCCCCCCCGACGACCACTCGATGCGCCGCTCTCTTTCTCTTGCGCATCGGGTAATATTGTCTTAGATGTCGTTCAGAGCCATCATAAGTCGGGCTGGGTCTGCAGCGAATGCTGCCTCCCCGTGGCGCTCCGCCAGCTGCAGAATGCCTCTGACGGCCAAGATCCTCGACCCCCGGGTCGCCCCCCGAGCTCAGGTACGGCTGCACAGCGCACCGCAGACTCCCTCTCTCTCCCTCGCAAATCTTGTCTGGCTAACAGGGACACCCGCACAGATGTCGACAGGCGTGAAACGCAGCATCAAGCCCCTCGCCGGCGATGAGCCCGAGGATGTCCTCTTCAACAGCTCCTATGGCCTGAGGACCATCGAGCTCAACCGCCCCAAGAAGCTGAACTCGCTCAACGCATCCATGATCCGGAAGATTGCCCCCCGCCTCGTCGAGTGGGAGAAGAGCGACCTGGCCAATGTTGTCGTCATGAAGGGTGCTGGCGACAGGGCCCTCTGCGCCGGCGGGGATGTCAAGGCCCTGTCGGACCTCAACAAGACGGGCGAGGAGGGCTCCAAGGAGTCCACCGACTACTTCGCCCTCGAATACAAGCTGGACCACTACATTGCTACCTACCGGAAGCCATATATCGCCTTCATGGACGGCATCACCATGGGCGGCGGTGTCGGTTTGAGCATCCATGCACCCTTCCGGATCGCCACCGAGAGGACCGTCTTCGCCATGCCCGAGACCACCATCGGCTTCTTCCCTGACGTTGGAGCCTCGTTCTTCCTGCCGCGAATGCCCGGTGCGGTTGGAACCTACCTGGCCCTCACCAGCGAGAGGTTAACAGGCGCAAACGTCTTCTACTCCGGTGTCGCCACCCATTATCTTCACTCTACTAGTCTGCCCAAACTCGAATCTCGTTTGGCCGAGCTGAGGTTCAGAGACTTTGACGACATGAAGAAGCGATTGGAGATTATCGAGATGACCATCGAGGAGTACGCCACTGGCTTGCCCCCGCTGGACAGGGAGCCTATCCTCATAGCCGGCGAGCTGCGAAACGCCATCGACAGGTGTTTTAACCAGCCCACCGTCAACGGTATCATCGAGGCACTTCAGAACGAGACGGGGGCCACCAAGGAATGGGCCGACAAGACCTTGGCGACTCTTCAGAAGCGTTCACCGACCGCAGTTCACGTGGCCCACAAGCAGATGCAGGTGGCCCGGGAGTGGAGCATCATGGAGACCTTCAGGAAGGAGCACCAGATTGCGGCACACTTTATGAGACACCCCGACTTCGTCGAGGGCGTCGACAAGCAGCTGTCCAAGGAGCGCCAGACGCCGCAGTGGAAGCCTGCATCGTTACAGGACATCCAGCCAGGCGACAACGTTGCGGATCCCTTCTTCGAGGCCGGTGCAGACGCGCAACCGCTGAAGCTGCTCGTCGACCGCAACTACCACGCTTATCCGCACAGCTACGTAGGTGTGCCGTCTGAACTCGATGTGAGAGATGCGGTTTTGAAGGCCACGAGGTCCAGGAAGCAGATTGTCGAGGACTTTGTCCAGAAGAAGAAGGGTAGACAGGGCATCAAGACCATCGTCGAGGAGGTTCTGGCCCGGAAAACGTACGAGACGGCCGATGGGGTGGCAGTGTGGATCGATGAAAGTGCATAAACTCGGCAACGCACGGAGTGTTTTATTGTATTATAGAGCTGTCCATGTTGACGACACATTGTGAATATCAGCAAGACAATTGTATTGTATTGTATATGGATGTGTTCTTGGGTTGGGTGCCGTTGACGGAGTTGTCAAATTGGTAGATTCCGGCAAACCGCCACGGTCGCAGTTTGGGGCTCGAGTATAAAGGGGAGGGGGGGTGCAGTCAATCAATGAGGTGCATACCTGGAAACTATCATACACCGAAGGGGGGGCAATGCAAGGCTACCAACTCCAACACTGTCGGCTGTTTGCCTGAGTCATTACGTTGCGAAAGTGGGGCGTGTTCTCGGGATGCCGGGGGGTATAAAAAGGAGCTCCGGCCCCCTCATGGAGCAAAAGGACGGCTGGAAAGTTCCCAGATTGATTTCTCAAACCGATGGTGTGTTGGGCGACCGATTGACGTGCTGAATCTCACCTGTTTTGAAAGCGACGCGGGCGTAGGCTGCCAAAGTCCGAGTATAACTGGCCCGTGCGCTATAGCCCTGGCCCGAGCGCGCGCGTCTCTCTCTCTCTTCCTTTCTGCTTTGCTCGTCTACCGCTACGTAGGTAGGCTCTACGTCGGTAGCCAGTCAGCAGTCAGGGCAGTCAGCCAATCGAGACCCAACTCCCGAGGTCGACAATTGGATCCTTGGAATTATCCCAGCTTATGCCCGCTGGCACACGCTGGGCCCCACCACTAGCGCTCAACTTGGGCCCCCCCCCTGGCCCCCCCGGCTTCGATCCCCCAGCCAGCGAGCACAGCACCCAGAGGGCAGGGCTTGCGCTCAGGTGCTTCTTCCAGGTTCGAGGCTGACAGCGCGCGTTGGTAGCGCACCCAGCCTTCCCGTTTTGACGTCAATTTCGCGTTCCCTTCAGCGCGTTTCGCAGCGCCCGGAGCTCCAAAACGCGTGGTACGCCAGCCCGCTAAATCTCGCTGGTGTCCACCACTGTGCCTGTACTTCTGCCGCCGAAACCACACCCAATCTGCAACTCTCTCTCTCTCGCCTGCAGAACCTCACTCCCACACACGACCTTGACGACTTACACGACCCTCCCACCTCGACGGCCTTGATTTTTGTTTGCTGCAAGTCCGATTCACGTCTCCTCAGCGTCTGGAATTGACGCCAACCCATAATTAAGCTGTTCGATTTTTTTTTGGTCGGTTCTAAACAAGCGATCTCGTCTCGAGAGCGGCACTTTTGCCCTTCACCGTCCAGCACCTCGCGTCTGCACACCCCTCGGGAACCACGACTTCAAACACCGACGCGCTTGATATGATCATGCACGCCAAACACAACACGGCTCCCTGACTGCGCGAAAATCCTGCTTGGAGTCATCCTCCAAGTTTCCAGAGTTTCTGGGCCCATTGTCGACTTTTCACCGGCTGTGCAAGCCCGGCCACAGAAATCGAGTCCAAGCCGTAGCCAAATCGACCTGCGCCCGCCAAGCATGGCCAACAACAATAACGGCGCCTGGGCACCCACGCCCACGGAGCATGAAGACCATGCCGTCCAGATCAGACCCATGGGCCGTACGACGTCTCTGCTGTGTGTAAACAGATTCAATTGCTAACGTAGACCCAGTGAAAATCCACTACACATTCGACAAGGACAGCCAAGTCAACTGTCTGGCACGCTGGCCACACATCCTGCAGATCCAGGCATTGCCGCTGGACGAGCGGAACACGATCGGTGTCGTGGACCTCCGCACGTGTTTGCAAGCCGTCGCCCAGTGCAGCCCAGAGTTGGCGGGTGACAACGAGAGGGATTACACAGTCTACGCCTTCGATTATTCAGAACCCGACACGCCCCTGGTTGGACAGGGTATGCTATGCCGGGCCCTAGAGCATGGAAACGACGGTTCTGCGCCCCAGCTGGTCACTGGACGGGTCACCAGGAACTTGCTGGCTATTTTCGGGAACGGCATCAAGGAGACCCTGGAGGTCAAGCTGAAGTTGACTGCCGTGCCAAAGGTCGTCCGAGCAACCCCTGCGCCGCGGGCACACACGCCAGCAACCGCCAACATGCCGAACTCATTTCACCCGACTCTTGCCCAGTCGACGTCGGCTATGTCAGAGGCAACAGAATGGAACTCCTTCATCCAGTCGAATCCCACTCTGGGTCACACAGGAAATGTGTCGGTCCCGTCTCCGGTAACAGCACCGGCCATACCCTTCAACTCGGGCTACGAAACGAGAAATGAGATTCCGGCATCATATTTCCCTAATGGCGCGGTCCACCCAGCAAGTCGGCCGGGGAGTCGGCCAGGCAGTCGACCAGGCTCGGTGGAGCCCAGTTCATTTGTGCCCTTGGCTCCGGCACCGGGACCAGGTCCTGGTAATCAAGGCCCAGCTCAGGGTCAAGGAGTTACGCTTCTGCCCGCCACGAAGCCTGGTGGAGCCCAATCACGCCCGTCCTCAAGGGCATCGTCACGGGCTCCGACTGGCAGGCCCCGCGGGCGTCCACGCAAGAAGCCAGCACAGGTCGAAGGTAGTACCTCGGGCTATGAAGACGGCACTGATGCAGATGACCCGCCGCCAGCAAAGAAGAGGGCGAAGATGACCAAGGTTGAGCGAAGCAACACGGCAACGTTCGGCTCCGCGCCGGAATCATTGCGCGTCGCAGCAAGCACTGCAGGTTCCCTCCGCAATTTCCGTCCCATCTCCATGGGAGGCGAGGCGGCTTCCGGTAGCCACCTTCAGGAAATCCCTAGAGCTCCTACGCCTGTGCCAGAACAGCGACCCGGTCTTCCCCATTCCCATTCGGCGCCACGAAGCCAGCTAAGGAGGCAATCTACGTCCGGCCTGGCTGATCCGAACGCCTCGTTCACATCGTCTTACCTGGATGTCAATCGTTCCATGACGCACGGCAACGATGCCAGATCGCCCACTGAGTCCATCGCACCCTCGCCCTCTCAGTACAGTGAAGGCCCTAGTCCGGCAGACATTGGTTCCTCTCCACCGGTCCCCAGGTCTGTCATGTATAGTGCACAGTCAAGCCCGGCGCCATCGAGCCCCATCCTGCCGCCGATGCCGACTCCGCAGGTGGATTCAGGGTTCATGAGTGGAGGCTTTGATGAGAGCCGCCTGGATGACGAGGAAGTTGGCAAAGCAAAGCCGCCTCCCCCGGCAGCCCCAGTTGTGGCAAAACCGAAACCGAAGCGCAACCGCTCAAAGAAGCAGACCGCCAAGACTGAGAAGGCCGAAGTTGAGAAGAGCGAACAATTCGTTATTCATACTGAAACACCAGGTCCGCCGGAACTACTGCCTGTGACATCGATATATGCTCCACCGAACCCACAACCACCCATTCCAGGTCGCAAACAGTCAGAAAACCCGAACACCCCGGCGACGGCAGAGCAATCCACTGTGCAAGTACCTATATCAGCGTCTCAGGAGCCAACCCCCGTGCCAGCCACCCAGCCGGAGCCAAGCATTACCATGTCTCCCGAGAACGAGCCCTCGCAAGCTGACCTTGAAGATCTTGAGAGGGCCTTGATGAGCAGCCTCGGTGAACAAGACCGGCAGTTTTTCGACAGCTTGCATGGTGACGGGCCAAGTTTTGCTCAATTCGAGGGCGGCCGCAACGGCGGGATCCGAGCAACGGTTGAGCAAACCGACGGCAGTATGGAGCCGCCACCGCTTCCACGTTCAAGTGAAGAAGCGAACCCGGATCCCGAGCTTCCTCCCATGGTACCTGCGAGTGATCCGGTGCTACGATGCTCAACCGTCCCCGGATCTGAACCTGCACACCCGCAGACAGACAGTGCAGGGCCATCCGAATCAAAGTACAACAAAAACGCCATCAAGAAGCAAGCTATCAAGCAGAAACTAGAGGAGGCTATCGCTGCAGGTCAGATGCCACCATTTTGCACCAACTGCGGCGCTGTCCAAACTCCGACATGGCGCAAAATATTCAAGCAAGAGCACGAAGGCATGCCGAGTTTCCACGAGTTCTCGGAAAAGCCTGGACACGTGACGGCGGTCAACGTCCTTACCAGAGATGGCGATGGGGCTATCACATCCTATGATCTGGTGAAGAAAGCTCTGGGTCCTCGCGATGACAAAGCTGCCTGGACTGAGGTTCTCCTCTGCAATCCTTGTGGACTCTGGTTCTCCAAGTGGAAGGCTCCCCGCCCAGCTGACAAGTGGGAAAAGGATCAGCAACGTTTGAACCAGACGCGAAAGAGGAGAGAGCCTGGCGAGAAAGGCGCGAGGGCACCTCGCCCCAAGAAGTCGCGCACCAAGAGTGACTCCCAGGCGAACCTGACATCCGATGCTTGTCTCATGACTGATCCTCTCGGATTTGACGGCACGGGGGATGAACTTCCTGATCCATTCAACTCTTTCCCGGCCCCGGGAAACGGACAACGGGGGAACAGTGAGAATTCGCGCGGACCCGGATCGACACATTCCAGGGGTTCGACCCATTCCCGGGGAAGCGGACGAACCGTCGGAAGCCCTATCGCCCTGGATGATGAGATGGGCAGCACAAGGCGCCTCCTGTTCCCCTCACCACGGAAGGATGGCGAACAAAAGATTCTTGGCGAAGTTGCCGTTAACATCGTGCACACTGCGCCTGAGTTTAGGGGCTCGAAAGATGGCGAGGGCGAGGCCAACAAGGAGAATAATAAGGTCATCACCAATGGGCAGGATGACATGGCAGATCTGTTTGGTACGCCAGCACGCCCTTCGACGCCGCCCCCCAAGTCGACCAGCACCGCGCCTTTCAAAACCCCAACGCGACCGACGCCCAGCCATCGGCCTGTAACTAGAAGTGTAACCAAGTCGATTCGCTCAACCCGCTCCATCAAATCGCCAGGCCAAGCGGTACCCATGCTGCAACGCACTCCTTCCAGGACGCCGCGCTCAGCCATGCCCTCCAGCGCCTTGCGCAGACGTTCGCCTCGGATGAACGGTCTCCCGTCGCATGTCATGGACGAAGGCAGCTTTGAGTCGCCCTTCACCCGGTCCATCAACCAGCTTCTCTCCGAGGCCAACGACTTTATGGCTTCAGACCTGGATCTGGGCAACCTGCCTCACATCGATGGCGACGGACACCTGGCGCCCGGTGCGAGCTGGGACTTTGGCAATCTGCTGAGCACCGACGGCGTCATGCCCAGCTCGCCACCTATGCTGCGGAACGGGCTCCCCTCAGTTTCCTTCGGTGCCCACCTCACTTACGATGCTGGCGACACCGACATCTGGAAGCACTTTAATGCCGCAGGCCTGGGCAACACGGAGAACGGTGATGCTACAGAGAAGTAAAGCGGGCAGGGCTCCCGGCGTGGCAGGTTTCGCCCACTGTGCGAGGTCACTGGCGTTCATGGACGGCATTTTGGTATGGACTTTCTTTCTCTGTTTTTTTCACACGGTCAGGAATAGCCGGTTTCGTATATCGATGCGCAGCGTTTCTGCTTCATATTGTTTCTGTTTTGTCTGGCCTTGTCCAGCGGTGTTTGGAGAAAGAATCGCGCCTCGCCTCTGTATAGAAGGCACATATACCCGCGCGCGCGCCTGCGTTAGATAGTCCGATAGTTGAACACTGCTTTCCATACATGCTACCAATGTCGTTGGTTCTACTTTGCATTTGCGCGTCTGATCATTCTGTATGTCCGACTCGTGATGTGCTCTTGCAGCGAAAGCCACGTGTGTGTACATCTAAGTTATGTCCCAATGTGCACTGTCTGCTTGCTATGCACGATGCCATCGATGCACTTCTGGCATACATAACAATTCTAGGAGCCAAGCAAAATGTTGTCCCACCCAGCTAACAACCAATGGGTTGATGCAAACTTTCGGCAGGTTGGCACATTTTAGTAGCGGTATGATGAAGCCTGCCTGAATTAGTGCGAGCGAAAGCGAGGAGGACGCAATTGACAGTGGCTGGCTGGCAAGAAAGAAGAGGGGGAAAAAAAAAAGAAGCACCAAATTGCAACACCGACTGATGATGTGCGGATGTTGCAAAAGATAATCGCCAGGACCCATCGTGGATCGAACACGAGACCTTAGGATAATGGCTGTGCTAGACTGCAATCCCACGCTCTACCACTGAGCTATAAGTCCCCAGAATTTATTTCCAGGGTGGCTTGACGAGTTGGTGACGTAGCCACTTATTACGTGTTATATCCGGTAGCTTGTAAGTAGCGTACCAGGGGTCCGCCTGCAAACCCCACTGGACCTTGACGCACGTAAATAGCTATGGAACTTGGACGTAGCTTCATTGTAACTTATAGTTGTGGTATCTACTTAGAAAAAAAAAAAAAAAAAAAAAAAAAAAAAAAAAAAGTAACAACTGGTATTGAATGTTGCTCCTTTGTACTGAATCTAGTCAAGGTACCCGTATTTTAAGCCTTGCCCAGTACAGACAATACAGATATAGCATCGAGCGCGCAAGTTCATGGGCGACATCGACTAACACGAAGAATATACTAGCTAGCTGCTGACTTCCAACGTGGATCGAGATGGGCCTTGAAAGACGCAGGCGCACATTACACTCATGCGAATAAACCCCAAGCACTCGTCACATGGTCGATGAAGTGTGTGAATTTGGGTAAGACGCATTAGGACGGCATTCAATCGGTTGTCGTTGTTTGGCAACAAGCACTACAGCTCATGGCGGGCTACTGATGGGCCGACGGGACATCCCATCCCACTACAACGCCATTGCTGCGAACTATGCTCAATACCAATGCGGTGGCATCGCCTGGAAACGTGAGTGGCGTCGCATCCTACGTTTGACTTGCCAATTCGCCCTTTTCTACTAGGAGGAAATCTTACTGAGGGGAGAGGAGACGGAAGCAGCAAGTTGAATGGCAGTGGAAGCTAGTGCTAGCATTGCTGTCTCTTGGTTGCTAGAAGTCTAACGACGCATTCCCTGGTTTTTCAATCATTTCGTTGTTTGTCTATTTGAGGGAATCGCGCTTTTCATCTTTCCTGCACACCATACTGTATTTTGAGACCGCTTGGTAGTACGCACAAATGCCATTATATACGTATGGAAGACACTTGGTGAACCAGCTCAGTTCCTGGACCCAAGGGATCTAAACTTAAGTTTTGCATACACCGAGTGATAGCTTACGGGAGGTGACGGTCATGAATCAAAACTGGGTAAGCCATGAACGGCGGTCTGCTGTTATCTTGAGAACGGCTGGAGACAGCATGATAGGGGTACAATGATTCGGCTCCTGCCAACGGAGCGGTGCATATTTGTCATTACCAGGTCACACATCTATATGAATGCCTGTCGAAGTCATAGGGTTTCCCTACCGTGTTGCAACGTGCCTACGTCCGCATTCTGAAGGGTATGGCAATGCCGTCTGCAACCCCTATCTGAACGCGACCATACGATGGCGCGGAAAGAAAACAACTCACATAATGATATCAACACCTAGAGTCACACAGTGGCATACTCGGCTACAAGAACTCGTCACTGGAATGGTAGCTGCGAAGAGCCACTTGGATCGTTACATCACCTGCGTGGACTGAGTGAGGAGCATAGGTAACACTTGGACAATGTATCCCTCAGTATTGCCACTGTGAAGAAACACCTTTTACTTCAATAGTTGGAAAGCCATTCCACTGACGGGGCAGTACTTCCAGGTCCTTCTGTATTCGTACCTGGAAGTTCCCCAACTTAGCCTTGGGGGTGTGTATGTTGTATGTACCCAAACTAGAACAGTGTAGCCTGAAGAGTTCTCAGAAGAAGGTTCTTTGCCGAGTACCGTTGAATATCTGGACTAGCTGATGGTGGATAGCGTGATGGATCATTCGAATTATTGCCAAGATAGCAGCCAGTTCAGCTGTCCAGGGATGACGGCAAGGCGCATCCCCAACAAGTAATCTTCAGAATATTAGCGCAGGGGGAGAAGGTAAGGAGGCGACTTCGTGGCACCAGCGTCGAACCCAAACAACAAATCATGCAGGTCAACGTGCTCTCGGCGTGGTCACGACGGACGGGCACGTGGCACGGGAGGGAGGAAGAACTGCGCAAGAGACCTCACATCGGGTTGACCGCCTGCCAATCGACCCGGGCGATGTATGCCATCTGGCAATGCGGTGTTCCGTCTCACAGCGGCGCCATAGCGTCGACTCAAGATTCCGCGCTGGAAATGAACAAGGCTCATCCATCAGGAAAGGTGTACCGACGCGGAATTGCGCGATCGCCCGGCCTCCCACGCGCAGGACCGCGGACGCTATACAGCAACCCTCGTTCCACCGGTGGATGCTGTCCTTCGATCCCCACGTAAGGGGCCGGAGCAGAGGGAGAAATAAGCCTTGCGGCCCACAAACGGTACTGCAGAGCGCACGTTGAACCGTTCAGCCGAACCCTTTTCTTCAATGTTTCTTTTCCTCTTGTCCAACCGATTACCGAGAAAACTGCTTCATGACGATCATATCTGGGTCTCTGGATCCTGCCGCAACGGAACTCCCAGCGCCGACAGGGGCCGGGCGCGAACCGGGCAAGCGAATACGAGGTTTTAGTCCCCTAGGCTGCCTGCGGGTCGGGGTTCGTGCAGGACACCGGGAGTGAATGCATCAGCGGTGAAAAGAATTGCCTGAGGAGTTGTCTCGATGTACTGTCCGTGGAGAAGCTGGTAAAGAGGCCGGTACATGAACATGGTATAGGAACCATTGCCTTACTCCTGAGGCACAAGGCGAAGTCACATAACGGGAGAGCTTTTGATCTCATCACTATAGCATTGCATGCAGACAAATGCAAAGAACACTTGACAATGGGTTTTACATTTTAACTACTGGTGTCAACGACTTGGCAATGTCCCAAGCTTCAAGTTGCCTCATAATGACGAGGAGGTTTGGGCCTTCATACTAGCGATATCGGATTGCCTGCCAGTTTCCGTTCACAAAAAGATACTTATCCCAAGATGTATATTGACTGACTTCTCGCTCCGATAAGTGAATACACCTAATGTCGAAATGACCTGTAAAGTAGACCGCGTAGTAGTCCTCGAGCGACCAGGGGTACGGCACGTTCTATCTCATTCGAGCGGACAAAACGCTCTTGGCTACGACTTCATCGACCGATCTCAGCAGAGAAAACCGCCCAAGTCCCGTACCTGGGACTTCGCGTACCCGCCATTGGTGGAAGGTGATATCTAGCTGCATGGGAAATCAAACCAGCCCACGGCGGCGACCCCCTGGCATATCACATCACAGCATGGCACCGCACCGCCTACGTACAGTGCGATGAGGCCGGAATAAGATTCTGACGGCGGCTGCTGACATGGACCTGGGGCGTAGAATCCCTCTAGACTACTGCACGGAAGACGCCATATCTCAATATGGGTTGTCATGCTTCGCCAGCCCCTGATATTTCGAGTAGGGTCAAGATCATGACGGACTGCTGGGCCCCTAGCAGCATCTTACAAGCCGTGGTGACGTCTATCTTCAGACACTTGTACTTTTCAGCTGGCGGCATAAGAAAACCGGGAACGTTGTGAGTGCTGCAGCCTTTAGATGTGAAATAGTGTGAGGTGGAGAAAGCCACATGGCCACACTGACGCAAATACGGATTATGGCCAACTCGGGACAAGAGAAAGAGACTTGTGGCCTGGAAATTGCCTCCCGTTCGAGCTTGTTGAAACAAAAGACAATATGTGCTCATCACTGCTCAAAACACACGCTGGGACCAGAGAGCGTGTGTGATATCGGACGGGATTCGGGCCATCCCTTCCCTACATCCAAATACAGTGCTTGAGCCCGTGAAAGTCGTCGTCATCGCCGTCTGGTTATCGTATACGAAGTTTCATGGCCATAGGGCAAAACGCCTGGGAACAGGTGTATCTGCTACCAACAGCCAGTCGCGCCGACTCCACGGACGGGATGTAACGCTGCTGGATTGACTCTCGACGGCACTTGGAACACCAAAATCCTCACACATCTGCGTTATGGGACTTTCCATTGGGTTGAACAAGCGCGCACCAATTGCCTCGTATGTAGCTGCCGTAGCATGTGAGACGCGGCCCCAGCCACAACCCCCGACACAGCTTCAAGTTCGGCCCCCTCCCCATGCAGGAACGAGATCCGTAGGGCTAGGGTTCTGAGTCATAAACCACGTTGAGCATTGCCAAAGCAGCCGCATTAAGGGTCGAATGCGGGAGGTGTGAGGTAGCCGCGTTTCTCTGCATTATCTGATTCAATCCGTCCGTATAGATGTGAAGCGACCTAAGAATAGCGAAGGCTAGCCTTGATCGGGGGCTGCGGCGTTGTTCCCAGACCCTGGTGACCTCGTATACGGGGTATACACCCCGGTTTGTTCTGGTTCGGGAATCTGATTCGCTTGCAGATACCAGCCTTACTGCGCTCGCTACGCATGCCACGAATCAAATATCGGGAGCCCGTCAACTGCCAGCCACAGATGGGCCATGCGGCCGGGAAAAGGAATGGCTGACGAAGGCTAACTACAATTGCATCCTAGCGACTGGTATTTCCCACAGAAATACATGGCGGTAGAGATAGCACAGTTGGCTATACTGCTACTATGAAGTCCAAGACCAAGTCTACTTTGGTTTCGAGTTTCACATAGAATGAATGCCTGAATAGAACGGAACAAGTTTGGGATGATTATCGGTCATAGTCAATCATAATTATTATTAGATCCTTGGGTTGATGGAGACTAAGTAGGACAGGTTCGCCAAAATGGCCAACCAGGCCTGCTTGGTATCCCAACGGACCCTGCTCCGCCAGCCATGTTTGCTTGCCGAGACACTGAGATCACTCAGCAATCTGTCATTCGTGACTCCTCCGAATACTTCCAGTATCCTGTTGCTCTGTCCAGACAAAGATTGACGCCCTAAACTCCAGGTTTCTCTCTGTGGCGAGTCGTGTGACTTGCGTAACCAATCTCTGTAGCCCCAGAGCCAATTCCAGTAAAACAAAACTAAACGCCGCCCAATGCAGTGATGAGCCGCCCCGTGGCCATCTTTTTCTTTTTCCCAGTTCAAGAGTTGAAACAGTCGCTATGCAATTTGGAATGTGGGTATCCTTGTAATCATCAAATAATGCTTTTTCCAAGGAGCGGATGAGATTCTATGTCGAGTATAGAGATCATCGTGAGTCGTAAGGAGTGTGTAGGTCTATAATGCAAATGCTTCGGTAAGGAATGTCTATATTGGGTATCATTTGGTCGTAAGGAGCGTCGTGGTCGGATATTAATAGTTGTAGGTAGGTTGTCGAGGTTTCGTACAAGGAGCGTGTGTATCATTGTGTCGATAGAGACATGTCGGGTGTCGTTTTGATCCTGTCAAAGGAGTGTGTTGTACAATTGCGTCTGTGGAAAGGGGGCCGGGCCAAATATTGAAGAAAAAAATCGGGAGAGCGAGCCAAGCTCTCCTGAAAGGTGCAGAAAGCGTGAGGAATCCCCTAATGCCCCCTCTCTGTGCCCTTTGCCTGGAGTGGAATGGACGAGGTGGATGAGTGGTGTCGATGGTGATGGCGAGGCTCAAAGTGGTAAGGCGACATGAATTGAGGTGAGGGCGCGGACAGCGACAAGGGCGTTGTTGACTCAGGAGGGACTCCATGCACCATCAGCGGTTGAAGATATGGCGAGGGCGCGAAGTGGGTGGGTTGGGGTGAAAGAACCGAGGGGGTTGCGCAAGAATCCTGGTGCATGCGGCTCTCAATGGGAATTGTCCTGAGCGCGAGAGTCAATCATGAATGTCCTGAACCAGTCATACGGGCCGTCGCCGATCCAAGAACTTAGATCCACACGGTTTGAATTGGAGAGACGAACCCAACGCCATAGTTGCTGGATCCCGCAGGGCCAAGAGGTGGATACCCCGTGAAGCCCCCATCATATGATCCGAAGTCCTCAGTGTCACTATACACAATGGAGCCCTCGCCGAATGTGGACGAAGCGGGGCTGTAGCCGCCATAGGAAGGCGATGGAATGTTGAGATACTGTTGGCTCGTGAAGGGGGACGACAGAGTCAAGGGACTGATGGCACTACCAGGCTCGCGCTCGGGTGCTGCCAAAGTAGAGAGATCCTCGGTGCTCCAGTTGAAAGCCGGGTTGTCGCCATAGGGCATGTACGAGGTGGTGGAAGGCGGTGTACCTTGCGACATGTCGTCCCCGCTCATGTAGAAGTTCGGCGGGTTGAACTGGGGGAACGAGGGCGTGCGTGCCGGCTGGATCCACCCCATGCGATGGCGAAATTCATTGACGGTGTCGATAGGGTACTCCATCAGGGTTAGTGGTGTTTGCAAGTCACCCTCGGCGCTGCCAGAGACGTTGATTGAGAGCAGACGGCGAGCAATCTCCTCCACGGGTCCAATAGAAAGGCTGCCAAAGTAGGCCGCCCCAATTTCGGGGAAGAGACGCTCCATCAAGATCGCGGCCGTGTAGTAGTGGGCGATGACGACCAACGCGCTTGGGGACGTGCCGTTTTGCTTCAAGCACATGACTGGCAGCCAGAAGAGCCAGGTCCTCAGCGGCTGCAGACGGTCGAACTGGGCTGACACGGATTGAATGGGGCTGACCTTTCGGGCACCCTTCAGGAACGCGCCCAGCTGCTGGATGAGCTTCGTATCCTCCTTGTTCTGCTTCAAATGGGTCTCGACCTTGGCGAGTTGGGCGATGGTCCGGGTGAAAGCATCCAAGTCCTCCTTGCGTGGCTGGTTAGGCTTGTGGTCGGGAGTCGGAGAAGGGGGCGCCGTTGGGAACGTGCTGCTCTCGGCAATGAAGTCTCCAAACTGTGACTCATGCTTCCATGGCTCCATGGCATCAATGACCTGTTGACCAGCTTGTGTTAGTGCCGTTTCGGTACGTAGCGAGCTCGTGAGAAAAATGCTACTTACGGAGGAGGTCCCCTGCATGAGTTGAGTCCAGCTTCGCCTGTTACGATCTCGTGTCAGCAACTCTTGGAGTCGGCAGCCTGCATGATATTGCTTACCAATCTGTGGCCTGCCAGGAAAGCACCAGCGAGGCTGCCAGGACGGCATCGGACGTGTCACGCGAAAAGGAGCCGATGGCTTCGTGCAGGCCTTTGAGGGCGATCCCCCTGTGCTCGTAGGCCATGTTACCAACCATTGGGCAGTCCGTCAGGAAGGCAATGTGCATCGCTGAGAAGGCGAGCAGGGCGTGCATGACGTAGCCATGCGTGGCGCCGATTTTCAGAATACTGTCTCATCGTTAGCGGACACAGGCGAGACAAGCCCAAGAAGGGAGACTTACGTAGGAATCTGGCGGGTCCACAGGGTGAAACCGTTGGCGTCGATTGCGCCGAGCTCATGGCAGATGGCAGCGACGTGGTAGATCAACCTCAGATCCTCGACGGAAAAGTACTGAGGGGCCGGCGTTGGGTAGATGTTGAGGCTGGGGAAAGGGAAGACTCCGGTGAGCTGCCACTGTTCGATGGCGGCCTCGATTTCTGGATTCCACATCAAGTCGGGCTTGTCCGGCGTGGCGGACCTGTCGTCAGGGACAGGAACGTCGTTGTACGGGCACCGGACCTTGTGCTTCGTGCAGTTGCGGCTGTGTCTAGGTCAGCCTGGGATGCCCTCAACGTAAAGCGTATTTTCGGGTGTGACAAACCATTGCGGAAAGTTTTCATCACAGCGGATGTGGCGGCGCTTGCTGTACAACAGTCAGTATACGCCCGTACGAGATGACGGGAGACAAGTAGAACATACCAGTTGTCACAGCCCTTGCGGGACTTGGTGTGACTGCGTCGAGGGGGACCACCGCCTGGGCCAGCCATTGTAAAAAGCTGTCGGTAGATTAAAGGCTGAACGAGAGAACTGCGTCTAGTTAGTGATCCGTCTGGATGAGGAGGAGCAAGATGCTCCAGTCGCCAGAATTCCTTCTGGAAAAATTCTTTCTTTTTGGGCTCGGTGCAAGGGATGAATAGACTAACATGAACCAGGGCACAAAATTATGTGCCAAGTAAAAAGCGAGCGAATGGGTTACGGAGAGGGATCTGGGGATCAGATCTTCTCAGACGATATCGGTTTGGTGTTTGAGAGCGCACAGCTTCTTCGGTATATATACGATGAAGGCGGTTGATCGTAACTATTGCATGGGACCGTCCCCAAGGTATGGCCTTTCTTGTTTTCTTCTGGGCCAGGTGAGGACCAATACCTTGACGAGGTAGGTGGCGCTATGGACGATGATGAGTCTGATGGGTTTCCTCAAGTATTCCCTTCCTTGGTGTTTAAGCGACTGTATAATCCTTGGGCAGGATGCACGAGGTCAACGAAGGTGGAGAGCGGCCTGATCGGGATGCGAGGTTGTTTGATGTCTTCCCAACTTATAAGCGACTGACGGGTGGGTTGGCTGAGGTTTCTGACGGGGTGTGGTGGGCGAGCGGGTCAGTTGCTGTGTTAGTCGACAAGGGCAAAAGACGTCCAGAGTTGACAACGGGCTTTTGATTTTCGATGACGGCCACTTCGAGTCCAACGTCTCCAAACACAAAAAAAGGAACAAGCGAATGACAGGAGTCGACGAGGACTTCCTAGGGGTTTTGAGGCTAAAAAGCGAGTGTGGTTGAGAGGGTGCAGCAACACGGCTGAGATCGGAGTTGTGATAGCAGAGAATATGGGAGGAGGCCTAGCTAGAGGGGGAGGCACCGTGATATTAAGTACGGCAGCGTGGTTCAAGTGACGGGGTGGGCAGTGCGCCAGGAAGGTTGACTTCCCTAAGAGGAAGACATGGGGGGGGAGGGGGGTGGGAGAGGGTACTTGTGGAGTACTGAGCCGTTAGCTGCATATCCGCTAAGTAAACAGGGCCACAAGGGTTGCGACCAGTGCACGCCCTTTTTTTCCCGCTGTGGTTGCAGGGCCCTGTGTGTGCCTGTCCAGCCAGCAGTTGTGCGGTGTTGCAGGCCATTCTGGTACATGCTGGGAGGTACCTCGGGGGGCAGGCAAGTTTCTTAGTGGTCCAGCCAGCCGGCCGGCGTGCCAGCCGCGGGCGAGGGTACCAGTGGACCACAGCAACACAGCACAGCATAACTAGCCACCGACAGCGCCGGCCCAACATGCTAAAGTCACCACCGTGGAAGACCCGGCACCACATGCTGGGTGGGAGCACAGACGGCCAGCAGCGATCGGGCCATGGGATGCTTTGCTTTGCTTGCCTGCTTGCTTTGGTGCCAGCCAGGCGAGCATATGCATGGGGGCTGCTTAGCACGGACGCCGCGCGACTAAGTGGGTGGAGGGCAAAGCGGGACTGTTCGCTGTCACCGTTGGCCTGCTAGTCCCTGCCAGTGGCCGCAACGTAGCTTAGGCCCCGAGGAGTTTAGCGACCAAAATAGAGGCGAAGCCACCCACTCGACCCCAATGGGATGCTCTCAGGGAAATGTCAGCACTCGCAGCGAGACGCGCAGGGCCAGTAGAGTTATCAGCAGCCCGACTGCATTAGGATGGGATACAGTCCAGTACCACACAGTACGGTACAGCGTTTTCCAGTACTTGCATGCCACCCACGGACAGGTAGCCAGACAGAGCGCCTGCACCCCGTTACGTCGATACTCACGGCGGGCGATACCCGAAGCTGCAGACTGGGCTTCTTTTTCCTTCCCTGTGTCTTGGAGTCTAAAAAAGCCGTGGGCGGCCAGCGCCCTGCCGAAGATTTGCGGTGTACATTATTGGCTGCGCAAGATGGACAGACACTTCTCATACGTTGCAATCTCATCGCCGGCTGTGCCTGTTGACTGCTTTGCTCGTCCCCCAGGTCGCGGTCGCTCACGTTGGGGATCCAGTTAACACTTGGCGGGCTCGGCGGAGGCATCGGGCTGTCATACGGGGTTATTGGCGTGGCTGTGAGGCGCCTGGTTGATTAGCTGCGTACCAGGCACCGTTATAGCCGAAGATGGATATGGGCATGCATTCACCCCGAGTCGAAAAGTAGTATCATGTACTGCGTACGGTAGCATCCTGATGGCACCCGGCCACTGTGCGTCACAGCTGTGATGTGTGTGTGTGTGTGTGTGTGGTGTGGTGTTGGTGTGGCAAGGTGACATGCACCTAACTTGCTAGGCTAGCTGCTATGAATGGTTGTAGACGGACTGGCATACCTATTCTATTCTCGCAAGCGGCGCACGAATGGCATGGCAAGCGTCCACCCACCATCCGCCGCATTCACAGAATCAAGCAGTCGTTTTCATATGGCATGACATGTAGGTAATCCAAAGGATTCTTCTCGCTTCCTCACTTGATCTCTCACTCTTTCTCCTCTCTCTCACCATGGATCCGAGCGCTGTCGATTCAAGCTGATCTTGGTAACTCGTTACGATGCCCTGAGCATGAGTAGCCAGGGAGCAGCACCGGGGCTTCGAGACAGCCCGGCCAAACCAGTCGATGCGCGACTTCGGCTCCGAGAACCCGATGGTCAGGTGAGCCCGCAGAAAGACGCCCACACCCGAGACGCCAGTGTGCTCAAGCGCCAAAAACCCACCAACCTACAATTGCGAGATGGCAGTCAGCAGTATGCAAGCGCGTGGTCACCCCGTCTCTGCGGGATCGTCGTCGGCGGCTCTGGTTTGCCTGGCGGCGTTACGCCACAGCTGGCGTTCAAGAAAGAAACGGTCTGCAAGCAATTGGGTGCCTACAAGGGCACTAGTTAAGCAACCGCTTCATATTAGTTTGGGAATAAGGTATTGTGTTGCCTTAAAGTGGTTAAAGTGCAACGGTGAAGACGCCCGAAAGCCCACAGTTTCAGGTGGTTGGTGGGATGTGGCAGGGCCTACGCTGCCACCTGGGAGTTCTGTGGCACCAGTCAAGCCAGTCCTGTGACAGCCATGGTCGCTGCTCTCTCCGTTCGACTGGTGGGTGACTGAGCAAATGTTACATGCTTCCACTCCAAGACAAAGATTTACGCATCTTACGTCTCCCTTTGACGGGTTTGTTGCCATCGACAGAGAGTCATCATCAGCCGCCGCCCTGCGTCAGCGACCCTAGAGGTCTTTCCGAGGTGGTTTATTTTTAGATTGCTGGAAGTCACATCTGTCCCTGACCTTATGGTGCGCCCTAAGTTATCGGGCTAGGTTGAGAGCTACACAGTAGAATGGCTGGGACGGGTCAGCTGTTAAGCCACTGATATCGAAAGATCACCAGCTGGACTACAGCTCGCAACAGTGTATAGTAATCGTGAAAGGCGCCGACTCTTTAGCATGGGCAATCCCAGGAAGAAAGCCTCCCGAGGTAAACTTCTTGGCGGCCTGCCCGGGGTCCTGGACAGGCTAAAGCAACAGGGGTAAAAAGACAGGGGACATGTCATCCACACTGGGGACGTCATACCCTGACATCGGCAAAGGCTACCAGTGGATAAAAACATAAAGGCCAATACGCGTATGACTATATCTGATAAATGTTCAAAGTTGGCAGGTCAAACACATCTCGCAAGACACACTAAGAAATGCAATACTGTGGGAACGCAGAGACGATAGCAGAGCCCAACCGCAAGAATAATCTCAACGCCGCGGTCATCGTCCTGAACCAAGTACGCGGCACCGGGATTTGGGACGATACAAGCCGGGCTTCGAGGTTCATGCCGGGCTAGAAACTGCCGGCCTGTGGAGGCATATATTGCTCTACGTAGGTCATAGAAAAATGGATTAAAACCCCCTTTTGTCACTAGCAACCCCAGCAGACTAGAAAAAAAATAAAGCGATTTGCGGGGGTTCAGCCTTTTCCGCTTAGTCACAGGTCGAGCAGCGGGTGGTCTGCCCTATGTCGAAGCAATTTACCGACCCCATCAGTCAATGATTTAAGAATCATTTGTGCCATTAGGTACGCGCAGATGGGGAAAGACTATTACCAATAGAGCACACTAGGGAATATGGGTCTTGCGCGATGGAAATTGGAAGCTTTCTCTGCAAGCGCCCGACGGCATTCTGTGAGAAAGTCGATCTTGGCCCATGCAGAGCGGGTCATGACGTTCATTTCCAGACAAGCGCTTCAGGGGTCAGCACTAGGGTTCATCTTTATACCCCTTCCAAATGGGCAATTCTCATGTGCGATTGACAGGGTCCTGGCGCTGGGGGCCCTTGAAGCCCTGGACGGCCGCAGAAGAATACGAGAAACCGCAGTTTCACCCTACCAGAACGGTTGTAGCGACAGATTATCCCTGGATCAGATCGGGTTTTCTAGAAAACTGTCAGGGCCCCTAGCCCCTACCAGGGCTGCATCCACCACACCGGAACCAGATAGGTCGACCTCAACGGCTCTCGACAATCATGCTCGCGTCATTATAGCATCTCAGGGTCTACCCAATTATGTGGCTTAGATGGGAAACCCTGGGCATCTCTGTGATCAATTTGGGCGTCTTCGTACCCAGACACCCAAATCGGAACATCACGTGCCTGCGTCTGCTACCTTGACAATAAATGTTCCTGTGCTATAGTAACTGAGCATCCCACACGTATGTAACTAGCGCGAGAGATCGATGTGCAGCCTCGATAAGTGCATGTTTCACGACCAGGCGAAACACCTGCTGGGGCGGCGGTCCTAAACCATAGTAATTGCACAACAAATCCAGCGGTGCCCCCATTCGCCTTCGCTAAATACAATGCGAAACCTCGACGGTCTTGAACAGACAAGGGGTGTTCACCGTTCGGTGCATGCTCGAATCTCACGAGATGGCCTGATTATGAAGCAAACAAACAAACGCGTGAATGTGTGCCGAGGCACATGGACCGAGCTGAGGTCCATCGTGACATTCATCAATATCGCCCTCAATGCTCTCATGAATAATCAAGGTGAGGGTGGCTGTGGCTGTGGAGGAAGCCCCAGGGCCGTGGGCCAAGTCGCTTTCGCGGAGGTCTGATTCGCTTCCGACAATTAGCCCGCGGCCGGCGAGTCAACACCGCGGCTCGGTGGACGCCTGTCCAGCTTGGGCATGGTCTGTTTCTATTTCTGTTTCAAGCTTTTGGCGTCTTTCGCCAGTGGCAGGTAGTGGGTTGCTAGTCATGAAGCTTTCACCTTAGGCACCCACTATTTGCAACCCGGGGCGCGCAAGTCCAAAAGTCTTTCACATAAGGTCACTTGACTGCATCTGCCGCTCGTGGTTCAGCCCACGGGCAATAGCATTGCCAATGCACGCGATAAGATACTACGTTTCATGCCCCATCTGTGACCTCTTTCAGCGCGCATGAAGCCAATGTGGCACTTTCTCGCCAGCCAGCTGGTCTTACTTCGGCGGAGACAAACGTCTTAGGGACGACACATTGTGACTACCAGACGACAGTGGCCTGGGAAAGGGCGCATCATTCCAGCTTTGCAGCACGGCGAATGCAGTCGATCGTGCATACCACTGGTTCTCATGGGTACATTCTCATTTCGGTGGCGGGCAACCCACGTTGGGTCGTACCGTAGCCCAGGCTTGTAGCGCGAATTCAAATATGGAGGGAATTCTCAACTCTGATATGGTGTATAGCAGAAGCACAGGCGGTCAGTCTCACCTTGGATGTCTAACATGCTCCTACATCGGCCAGGCACGAAACATTGCTTATGTGTAAACCAAGGCACTTGGCCGCCCACCGCAAGCACAGAAGCAGCATCAAGACACTGCACCGCACATGGTCAGGGTCTCGAGAGATCATGCCGTCTTGCCGTCCACCACTTGGATGCCTGGGGGCGGTGAACAAATAGCTTGCATGACCTGTGTTGTAGTCCTCGATGTTTGTGCAACTAGCCAAGCAGTGCATGGCTAGGGGACTACTGTACATACAGTACAGTAGTTAGCCAGCCCGGCGCACAGGTTCCCAATCAGATGGTCAGGAATAAAAGGCTTGGCGAAGCTCTCTTCTCACCTTGTTCAGTGGGGTACCCTCGGTGCGGAGTACTGCAATGTTATCCCAGCCAGGGCTTCCCATGGATCCTGCGCGGATGCACCCTTGCGACAGAGGCCACACATCCGCGACCGAGGTGTCTTGACCACCCAACACGCAACGAGGGCAGCAATTGTGGCACGGCACTGCTGTGTAGACGCTAGTTAGGGCTTTGGAAGCTTCTGTGGAAAAGAGACTAGAAAACATGTGTGTACTATGTAATTCGTCCCGCACCCGGATTTGTCCATGACGACAGAGTGAGGCCCTAGTGAGTGCCATTGCAGGGAGCCGATTTGCTACCAGTCCCAAGTCAACGCCAGTGGTGGTCCCCGGTCCTAAAATTAGAATTAAGCGCAAACATAGTTTTTTTGTCCAATTTTGCCGATCACCGGACTATTAGGTACTGAACTCGGAGCTTAACACTCAAGAAAGACTTAGTTAGACTCTCCTTCTGGGGCTCAACTTCGGAGACGAGGGGGGCGGGCTGCTCCGAACGGGCGAACTCGTGCGGCATCGTCATAAATGTCTGCCCAGGTAGCACCGTTCGACCCCGTCACTAGGACGACGGGGTCATCCATTTTGAAACCCCGTTGAGAAACGCCTGCAAACGTGTGTGCCGAGGTCGCTTCTCAGTCTTGCGCCGATTCGGGATATGCCAACCGCTTCCGAAGTTCCGCTGACCAGGTCCACCCTCGGAGAAGCTGGATGCGTTACAGTTCACGCGAGTCTTCTTTTTGGATCGGTAGGGGGAGAAAGCCTTCTTGAGGCCCTAAATGGGGTAAGGCCCGATGGATCTTCAATTACAGAGGGACGTACGGTTGCACTTGTCATGCGACCATGCACATTATCAACCGCTCCTAGCACCACCTCCCTTCCCTACCACAGTACTGTGTATATCGCAAGGCCCTGGACCAATCGATGGGCCGCAGCACGACACTGAGGATAAGGGAGGTTGGGGGGCCACCTTGTTCGTCACACCGTAGCCTCGGTCCTGAGTGGGCGATCTCGACACGGCTTGCCGCGTATAGATAATTCCCGATCAGCCATTGCTTAGCAATTGTTACGTCTTCGTTCCGTACTTCGAGACGCACAGGGCTTCCACGCCAATGTCCTTAGATCGAAGCCACAGCTTGCCGATGCTTGAGGGTGTAGTGTACCTCACCGTTGCCACGGATCTCCAAAATAGAACGCGGCTCCACGTGTTGATGTCTTAGCATTCGTTGTATGATTTGCTCAATCGAAAGACCTCGAAATCGATGGTTCATGCTCGACATGCTGTGGCGCACCTTGATGCAATGCTAATGTCAGGTATTGCGTGACTCTCTTTGGTCCCCTGAGAAATCAGGCCATTATGGCAGCATAGTGCCTGATCATAAAGTGAGATAAGTGCTGCTATCTCTAGCCAAGCTGTAAAGCTGTATGGACACTATTTGGTTGTTCTCTCATGAGACAGGGTGACTTTGCAAAGCGACTACCCCAGGAAGACGCCTTACTGCACAATTGCCACACGGGCACAGGTCAAGCCACTGCTGTTGTGACACCTCACAAGTGTAACCTACTGTTAGCAATAGTTCTCGTAGAGGCATACCGCCTTTTTTCGATGAAGGCTCAGTTTCCGAACAGGCAAATGCACCATACACCCCATCTGTACTCATCGCTAAGAGAACGTTACAGGATTCAGACTGCATGGCTGCGCAGATAAGCACATCAAGAGGGCTTAACAAATGTCGCCTGCGACAAGTCCCCTGGCCCTACGCTATGAATCGCGAAGGGGATGCTGCCCGGATACAGCTAGC